CGCGCCAAAGACGTCAGTCAACATGGATAACATTCGCCGGCTCGTGCTACGACGTCACATCGGTACACTCAAGAGGCTGATGGTTAAGAATGACATGGACTCAAGCTGGGATGCTGACGAGAAAACGGTGTTGTTGATATGCAACCGCGGGAAGCAGCTCGAAGAGCTGGCAGTGGGCATGGGAATTCGCGCAATGGTAAGTTCCGTAACAGACAAGCCCCTTTGGCCTCCCGCCTCCCTGGCTACCCTAGAAAGCGTCAGTTGGAACTGACAAATTTGGTTGCAGCACACCTTCTTGCAGCATTTCCCGGGCCTGCCCAAACTGCGCGCCCTCAATGTCGTCCACTTCCGCAGCGAGGACACTTGTCCGTGGGTCATGCGCGAGACACGTCGATTCTTGATCGACAATCTCTCTCATCATCCTGAGCTCGCGCTGGAGTGGATCTCCATTGACGATGACAGAGTTGAACGTGTCATACGTGGGCCGTTCCCTTCAGATCGACCCAACAGCGACAAGAAGAAGAAGAAGGGCAAAGGCAAGGCCACGGTTTTGACCTCCAGCGATACGGAGACGAGCCCTTTCCCCGAGCTGCCCCTCCATAACTGGGACAACCCCAGCGACAGTGACGACGAGGACACGGACGTATCGGCGCAGTTGAAGCTGGACACGATCACAGACGTGCACTTTTACGACGTGTGGGGCGTCCGCATATTCAAGAAGGAGGTTATGACCGGCCGCCTCTGATCACGGTGATAATGAACGTATTTGCACGTAGGACATGGACAGGGGGCATACAGGGCCACGACGTTTTTTAAATGAGTGCGTTGGACGCTTTTCTCGCGGCTTGAATCGATAGGCAGGTTCATCCGAGGACCAAGCGTGTTATGAGGATATTTTGGGCATGGCGTGGTGAGGCTTCTCTCTTGACTTTTCTTTTTTTTTCTTGTCTTTTCAGGCGTCAAATAGCGGGGTATTCTTCTTTTTGATAGCGTGATAGGTTTCGTGGGCGAATGAGATGCAAAAAACATGTGCCTGTAACAATAGTCTGGCTCTTTTTCGGGATGAGACCATGGTCTGAATGCACATCATTTGGCACTGATGATCCAATTTCGTTCCGTTGCCTTTTGGGGTTCGATTACTCAGAATGCCTGATGTCCGGTTTCTGTCCGCCACAATGACGACCCCATCGCTTGACAGACGTGGAAGACGATATCATTATCATTACTGAATATCATTACTGAACTAAGCCAATCCCCTATCCTGAAAATCATGTGCTGGTTCGTGATAGCCACGATAGCCTCGAGCCAAATTCATGTCTTGGGTGTGCTGGTTTCAAATCAAATCCCACTTGATGATCCCGGCAAACGCCATGCCGACCCTGCCCCTTTTCGCGAGGAACTCCTCCTTGGAGAGGCCCCTGCCGTCCTTCCCGTCGAATTTGGTTACCATGAAGATGCTTAACCCTTCACCCGGCGCACCGAGATCAATGGCGTTAACATCGAGCCACCACCAGTAGCCATCCGTGTCCATCGGCACCATTTCCTTCTTGCGGCCGTCTCGACCACCAATGCTCAGGAGCAGCAGTGGCGGCTTCCCGAGTCCGTGCCGCTCTGACGTCCAGTGCTCGCACAGCTTGGAGAACTGGAAGCGCACGCACTCGCCGCTGTACACTGAAATCTGCTTCTCCTGCGGATAGACGCTGCTTCCCTCGATGCCTTCCTGATGCGCGTTGGTGTACACCGTCGGTGTTTCCCCGTGGACGGGGCCAATGTAATACTCCTCCCACGTTGGTATGCGGCCGTCACTTCGGAAAAAGTGGCTGTTGTCCTTCGGGTAGTGGGATAGGCCAAACATCTCGTTCGACCGCGTGAACTGTTCCGGCTTGAACGATGGAGTGTATGATTTAGTTGCTGACGAGACGTTGCCGGCTCCCCAGCATGAGTCGAGGAGCTTCCATTCTCCCCCATCGATCCGCACAGCGTTCCAAGCATGACCATCTGCTTTCTTTGGAGGGGGACGTTCGCCTTTTTTGAGGGCTGTGTGTCCGATGCCCTTGCCGTGACCCGTCACTGTTATACACTCTAGCCCGGCGCGCTCCGCTATGGCTTTGTAGGTGTCAGCGTAGCCGGAACACACAGCTCTCCCCATCTGTATTGTTTCCTCGGCACCACGAGCTCGAACACTGTTGCCGAAAAACGCTGGACAATCGTACGCAATGTTATGATGGAACCAAGTGAAAATAGCCCGCGCCTTGTCAGTATGAGATGTGAAAGGGGCGCAAAGATAATGAGCAAGATAGCCGACAGGGTCATCGCGCGGCAACGATTCCCTGGGGTATTGAGCTGCCACGCCATCCGGGCTTGAAAAGTCGCGGCAGGTCAGGCAGTCGTTGCGTTGCTGTACAGCTGGGGCATGCTGGGTGGCTGTGGCGCTCGGCTGGGAAGTTGTGGGTCTGGAGCTCAAGGGAATAGGTGGCGGAACATCTCCTTCATCCAGATAATTATCTGTGGCCTGCGATGGCACGTTGTGACCCTCTATGTCTTGGACATGATGCCCATGCCCGTTGGTGACTGGTTGCGGACGAACAATGGGCCTTACAGCAGGGGCCTCAGATGCTGGGGGTGGTAGTCGGCGAGGTTTGGTGGGAAGGAGCTCTGGGTCCGGTGCGTGCTGGTGAGCTGTATGGTTTTGTTGGTTGGCAGAGGCGTTACTCAGGCGCGGAGGTAATGTGGGCCGCTGAGGAGCCTCAATCTGTCTGATGGCTGGGGCAGACTTGATGGGAATAGGGGCTCGGGGTCTCGCAGGTTCCTTGAGAACGGCCTCCTTCGCTGCCTGAGCTTCTCTTTCCCTCTTGGTCGGCGGCAGCGGGGGAAGACTGGCGGGGTCGAACGCCGGAGGCAATTTGCGACCTGCGCCATCAACGGAGTGTATGCTTGTAGCTGATGACACCGTATTGTTGTTCAGGGAAAGAGACGAAAGTGTTGAGATTTCCGAAGCGTTTGAGTTTCGTCGGGCTTCCAGATACTGCGGTGTCTGAGTGGAAGGTCGCCGTGGCGGCAGCGCAGGTGAGTTATGTGAGGTGGCACTACGTGAGAGGATCTGTGGAGGTGGCGCGACACGATCTCTGGCCGCCGGTGAATGTTGCGGCTGGATCTGCGGTGACTCAGTCGTTCGTCGAGGCAGTGGCGGGGGGTTGGCCTTGGGAGGTAATGCTCTCGAAGGACGGGGAGGTATCGATGGTGTCGGGCGCTCTTGGGGTGCTGCGACTGTGGGAGCTGAAGACAATGCCTGGCCTTGGTTGTCGGCCTTGACGGGCGGTGGGGGTGGAGGGGCTCGTTTCGCCTTGACCTCCGGAGCCTTGAAGTTTTTCTGCTTATTCAAGGCAGCAATCCTCTCGGCGAGAGTGGTGAACTGGGGTTCCTCGACGTCGGCCATTGTGCTTTAGGGCCCAGTCAGTCGATTGATTGGAGGTCAATCCGTCAGCGAGAGTGAAGGAAAGGCCGGATGGATTATGGATGTATCGATGTAGGTGAGCGAAGTGAAAAAGAGAAAGAGATGTCGTCGAATCCAGGAGGGTACGCAGCGAACGGATGGCGGGGTTCGGAGCGATAACGGGCAGTCAGTCAGTCGATCGTTGTCTCAAGCCATGTGTTTGTCCCGCCCTCGTGCTCGGCGAGGTGAAAGCGCCTGGTCAGCGGCAGAGTTGCCGAGGGGTACGACGAGCGGACAAGCGGCAGCAAGCTGGGTGGACGGTGCTTCTTTGGCTGGGATGGTGTTGGATGCGCAGCCACAGGTGGGACAGGCGAGGTAATGACTGTGACTCCAACTACAAGCGTCTATGACGGAGGCGACGGAAAGTTTGCTGGCAGCGTCGGATGGATGGATGAAGGATGTGGCACAGCAGACAAGAAGCGGCACGAGCAGACCCGTATGAAAGAGGGGATGAGAGGGGAGGGGATCAGTGATGGGCTGAAGGACGCAACTTGATGTTGAGAGGAGAGAACACGAGGGATTCTGATCTGAGGCTAGCAAGTCCCGTCCCATCAGCCCAACCCCAGCCCAGCCCAGTCTTCCTTCCGGGATTCAAGGTGCACTGCACTGAGAAGCGCCTCCCTGCCGCTCAATACCAAGGAGGGGAGCTTGGGGGCGTTTGTGGATGTCCATGTGTTCATGTGGGGTGCCTTGCGCGTCCCCTGCTCCCCTGCTTCCTTGGCGCTAGTCGAGGGGGGCGCAGGGTGCCGACTGCCTGTTCTGCGAGCCTGGTCTCGTAGGGCAGCCACTACCGGAAACGCCCCTAAGAATAGGGGCGGGAAGTCGGCACTGCGCATGGTCCTGCTCCCGCTCCTGCTGCTTCTGCACCTGCTTCTGCTCCCCACCGTTCGTGGGCCTTCCTGCCCGCGTGCATGCGTGCGGTCTCCATTCTAAAGCACATTGATAGTCATGCAAGCTGGTGCCAAACCAGCTCGCCAAAGCCGACTTGTTCGTGGATCCAGTCTTGTCAAAGCAGCATACGCTTTGCTCATCCATGGAGTATCGGCGAGGTAGCCCCTCTGTCAGCCCCCATGCCCAGGATACCCCCGCCTCGTGGACTCGAATGCCAGTAGCAAGAAGTCTGTGCGTGGCTCAGGGACCAGCTCAGACAATCTATTCCGGGCTCTTTGAAAGGGGCAGCAGCAGCATCCTTGCCGCCCGACGTGAAGGCAGCTTCGAGAAAACCCAAAGCTTCTCGTGGACTGCGTTCGAGGCACACATGTCCGTGTCTCTTTGGGCAGCGTAACCAGCTCCCCCCGCTACCACTTCGCTACATCTCAGCTATTGAGCCAGCTGACACGAACACGCGGAGCTTGGAGATACTCGTGATAAGGTTCAAGTGACAACACGAGACCTTGTGCACGGCTTACTCATAGCGCAAATATCTTGTGTGAATTCAAGCGATATCGCATGCTAGTAGATATCTCGGAAAATCAAATCGCTGACTACCAACATCACCATGGTCTATTTACAAGTTCAACTTTTGCGCCCTGAACCTCGCGCCATACTTGCATATCAAAGCCGGCACTGGGATCAGCGCGATAGCCACGAACCCCAACAAGCTGTTTCCCCACCCTAGGCCGAGGGCGTCGTACATTTTGGGCCCTGCCAGTGGCAGAAACGCAGCGACGACGCTCCGGAAGACCGTGAAAGCGGCGAGAGCGCTGGCCGCGTACTCGGGGAACGCGTCGATGATGTACGCCTGAATGGGCTGCCAGACGCCGACGAGACCGAGGCCAAAGGGCAAGAGAGCAAGGATGGGGGAGATCCAGTGGACCTGGGCGTACGCGGACCAGCCGTACCAGAAGAAGGTCAGGGGCAACAGGCAGGCGAAGTAAACACAGTCCGGCAAGCGCATTTCCGGTTCATATACGCCGTGATTGGCGGCGGTGAGACGGATAACGGTGCGGTCGGAGATGTAGTTGAAGAGGGCGAGAGAAACCCCGTAGCCGACGCCCATGGGTATGTAGACGAGGCCAGTCATGCCGAGTGAGAAGCCATACTGATCCTGAAAGACGAGAGGAATGGTGTTGAAGAGCAGGTAGAGCACGCCGTAGCAGAAGGCAATATACAGGGACAGGGAGAAGAGGAGCGGCGAAAGGAAGAGCATCTTGAGGGGCCGGGTCAGTCCGCGAGCAAGAACCATAGACTTGGACTGCGGTGGCGCATTTGCGTCCACATAGACGGACCGTAGATCGGGGCGGTTGAGTTCGATGCGGAGGCGGTCCGTCTTCCTTTGAATGAGTACACGGGCGTTGGTCTCTTGTGAAAGGATGGCTATGGCAACGACCATGGGAACTGAGGCAGCCAAGACGATCCACCCCGTCCAGCGCCAGCCGATGTCCTGCGCAACAAAGGCACCGATGAGTGGCCCGATGGTGGGGCCGATGAGCGGGCCGAGCATCCAGACGGTGATGGCGCGGCCACGCTGGTGGACCGGTATGATGTCGGCAATGATGCCACCTCCGATGGTCAGGCAGCCGGATCCGCCGACACCCGTCAGAAAACGAAACACAATCAGTGCGTTCAGCGAGGGTGCGAGGGCGCAGCCGATGAGCCACACACAAAAGAAGGCATTGGCGGACGAGAGAACAAGGTGACGGCCGTAAATCTCCGATAGGGGGGAGAGGAAGAGAGGTCCTACAGCATATCCGAGGAGATAGATGCTGATGGGAAAGGAGGCCATGGTGAGATCAGCTTCTCCGTTCCCACTGAAGTCCTCGGCCAGGAAGCCAATCGCGGGGGCCAGAATGGTCGAGGCGAAAGGGGTGAGGAATGTAATGGCGGCGACGAAGCCAACTATAGTCCACTTGCGCTTTGCGCTAAAGTTCATGGGCATCTCGGGGTCATCTTGGCTCTCCCAGCCAACGACACCGTTGTCGAGGTCAGAAACCGGGACGGGTGCTGGCGGAGGTGGAGGGAGCTTGGTGCGCCGGGAACTGGCGAAGGAGCGCCTCGTCCTGGTGGTGATTTGAGAGGGCTGTCTGCTGAGCACTCTCTCGACGACGTCCTGAGAAGCTGTCAGCTCACGCTCCAAGGGGCAAAGGTAACGAAATCCAAGGTGGCACACGGACTTCTTCATAGGGGTCTGCTTTTCGCTCCTGTCGGCTGCGCCCACGTTCGAGCTTTTCCGTCAACACTTCCTGCTCGATGCTGTCTCTGTCACTAAGGGACGGTGGGGGAGGTTCGGTTTCTGCATGTTCATGAGAGTATTGGGCAGTCGCGTCAGAGCCCCAGCCGGCCTCGACATCTTTCTCCTTTCCGTCGCGCATGGTTCGGCCTTGGCACACAACGTGCGTGTCACGACAATCCACGCCCTAGGGTGAATAGGAGGAAAGCAGCGTCCGATGAGCTGTCGTTGCCGCGTGCGCGAGGAAGGAAGATGAGTGAACGATGGTCCAGAGTCTAGCGCTCTACAGATGAGGATGTCGCCCCCAGAAAAAGGGGAGAAGAGTTGGGGGTTTCTGGTGTCCATATTTTGCTTCGCTGCTTTTTCTGACGGGGAATCGTTTCCAATTGCAGTCTCGGGCCTACCAGGGGGTGAGGGGCTCAAGAGGCCCGAGAGGGCTTGAGAGCGCTGTGGATAAGAAGTGGGCGTACTTTAGGCCTCGGCACCGACGGTCGGCCCCTCATCGTCATCCTCTCCAACAGTCGCGGGACCCCGGATCCGATGGCCACAGTGGAGCCCAAGTCGCGGGGGTCAGGGTATCTCCAGGGTTTATATCCGTGTGTCCGTCGAAAGCGCCCCCTCTCCAGGCCTCCAACAAAACCTCATCCTCCTCAGGCGATGAGCAAATGGCATCGAGTGGAGCCAGTCACTAGAAAGGACCACCGTTGAAGTATGTGTCTGTCGATGCCGAGAGCCGAGATGGGAGGCGAGACGAGACGAGAGAGAGAGGTGGGGGGACGGATGAAGTCAGGCGTCTGACCACTTGAGAAGCGACTGGGCTCCCATCAGGGGCGCTATTGCTTTGAAATCCAGACGATAGATGGCTTGGCGGTGAGAGATCATCAGCACCTTCAGTGCGGAGTGGTAGGTGGTGGGGGATACCAGAGAGGGGGCCCCGAAGAAGCAAAGTGCAGACAGAGAGCTGTTGGAGTTGGCTAGCTAGCTGCATCAAAGGGCGCGGAAGCCATGCCCAGCAAACGGCGTGAGAACATGGCCTTGATGGTGCCATACCCACATGGTGCGAGCAACTCATGCACCCCGCAAAGAATGCAAGCGATGCACGCTGGGGAGAAGGGTGGATGGAGGGCGGTTCACGGAGAAGGACAAGGTCGAAGGGCTGGCTTCCACGACGGGACGGCGTCAGGGCCACCCGCCTGGAGTCACGTTTACCCGGATCCGGAACCTTAGCCCACCCGATCAATGACCACGAACCGGCCAGACCCACTTGCGAGCACATGGGGAAGGGAAAGAAATGATGGGCATCAATTGGGGAAATCCGTCACAGATGGTGGCTTATGCTTTGCGGCATGGGTCGAGCAAGAGCCCATTCATCGAGAATAGTCGCGTTACCATTCGATACATGGCGCGTCTTCTCTTCTGGATCTGTTCCATCGACGGTCCACCTCTCCTCTCTGATCCCTCGCCCAACTCGGTACCTGGGTCGGTACCTGGGTCGGTACCTGTGTCGACCTACCTGTTAGGGGGCCTTGCCTGTGCTAGCCCTGGAGAGTGATAGATCCCTGTCAACTGCGCCTCGGCATCTGGATACGGTGTCCCAACCCAAGACAACGTCGAGCGCAAAGTTCATCAGCATCATACACAACCTTTCATCGACCACCCGGTCCGCCCCATTGTCGAACGTTTGTTGCGCGGCCATGGTCACGGCGTGAAGGGCTCTCTTCACCACCAACCTCTCATCGTCTCTTTCTTTGCCAGTCATTACCACCATCCCCTGTCATCATGGCGGTGCCTTCGGGACTAACGCGCACTGAGACGCTCTCGCACCTCGCCATCTCAGGTGCCGCTCTCATCATCCTCGCCAACACCTTCACTGGCGAGGGCGAGCCCCTCATCGCGTCGCTGGCCCTGTCGACCCTCGCCTTTTCTCTCGCCTACTGCATGGTCCGCTGGCTGGGCCCCACCTTCGTGAAGGCCGGCTTCAAGGGAAAGGACCTCTCCAAAGCGCACCAGCCTCTCATTCCCGAATGCATGGGCGCTGTCTGCGCCGCCGTCTACCTCCTCGTCATTATTGTTTTCATCCCTTTCCCCTTTTACAAGGACATTGTCGCCGCGACCAGCGGTGGAGGCAACCGCGACGTCGTCCTGCACGTCGAACACGTTCAGCAGGGACGCTTCCTGCATCGCTTCCCGCATAGCAAGGTACGTACTTGCTCCTGAATCCCTGACAACCAGAGGCGACCTGTGATCTGTGATCTGGAGCCCATGAGTGCGCCTCGACTGACGCACAACGCAGCTGGCTAGTTATCTGTCCGCCATCATCTCGCTGCAGACCACCGCCCTGCTCGGCATCGGCGATGACCTCTTCGACATTCGCTGGCGCCACAAGTGGTGGATTCCCGGTCTGGCATCCATCCCCATCCTCGTCGTCTACTTTGTCGACTTTGGCGTCACCTCCATCGTCATCCCGATTCCCCTGCAGCCCTACCTCGGCGAGCTCTTCAACCTGGGGCCTCTCTACTACCTCTACATGGCCTGCGTCGCCATGTTCTGCCCCCAGTCCATCAACATGCTCGCCGGCATCAACGGCATCGAGGTGTCCCAGTGCCTCGTCGTCTCCCTGCTCCTCGCTCTCAACGACGCCCTCTACCTGCTGACCCCCTATCCCCACCCGGCCACCGACTCGCACCTTTTCTCTCTCTACCTGCTCCTCCCGTGGATCGGCGTCTCCGCCGCCCTCCTCTGCCACAACTGGTACCCCGCCCGTGTCTTCGTCGGCGACACCTACTGCTACTTCTCCGGCATGGTCTTCGCCACCGTCGGCATCCTCGGCCACTTCTCCAAGACGCTCGGCCTCCTGCTCGTGCCCCAGCTCGCCAACTTTCTCTACTCGACACCCCAGCTCTTCGGCCTCGTCCCCTGCCCACGCCACCGCCTGCCGCGCTTCGTCGCTCGCACCGGCCTCCTCGAGCCCAGCGTCACCCCCTGGCCGCGTGACGCCCAGCCCCACCCCCTCGTCGCCCGCGCCCTCCGCCTGCTCGCCCGCCTGCGCCTCCTCGCCCTGCGCGTCCGCGACGACGACCCGGCCTCCATCGAGACAACGAGCAACCTCACCCTCCTCAACCTCTGGCTCGTCTGGCGCGGGCCTCTGCGCGAGGACCGCCTCGCCTGGGAGGTCACCCTGCTGCAACTCGCCGTCGGCCTCTTCGGCCTCTTTGTCCGCCACCGCCTCGCCCTGCTCATCTTTAAGGAGGACAACTGGGTCTTCTCGACGACTGCCGTTTGAGAATGGCGAATGCGGATGCGCGCCATGTCGCCGGCCGGAGACACGATGAGGAGAAACAGATGTATTTTCCTTCGTCTTTGTATTTGGCTGGGCTGAGGCCCTTATTACTCCATAGCAGGGACATGCGTATTTGAACACGAAAGACTACGAGAGATATGCATGCGACAGGGGGGGGGAAAGGGAATAGATTTCATCTTCAGGTTGCTCGCTTGTCGTGCAAAGGCTGGGAGCCCCGTTGTACTGCTGCTGTATTGAAGATACCCCCAGACTAGAAAGTATAGAAAAATTCATCATGCTTGTAGTGATGTCGGCCAGAATGTCACAGCTACAGCATGAAAGTTGAAAAAACTACACACCTTCTCGATGTATGTCGTGCTACCCATCCTTACGTAGATGCCGCCACACCCTGTTGAACCATGAGCGACTCGACGACTCTTTTATCCGACTTTTCCTATGAGAAACAGACAAGCTTAATCACTTTGTGCAAGCCATCACGAGCTCGGTAGTCATGAAAGAGTGCGAAAAAAACGGCAGCCTTGGCCGCACATCATCCATTGAATCAATACCTCATCAGACCCTCTACCCGAGGCGCCTCGACGCGGGACGAGGCGTCCGACAAGCCGTCCCTGGAATAAACCATATAATACACACAAAGGACGTAACATTGCCGCCATTCCCGCAGGCCAAGCCAACAAAATAAATCAGAGAAGAGCTGTGTACAAGAAGCGCCTGTCGACCCCGACGGAGAGTTCCGCTTTGAGCGGCGCTCCCTGCCCTCCACATCCCCCGTGTGTGGAGTTTCCCGCACGCCAGTCTCGACCCTCCAGAAAAAGGGGGGGTTTTCCCACATTTCCCCCCTTGGCCGAGTACGCCCCGTTCCCGGCACACATGCCGTCCGTTCAACGCCGTAAGAAAATCAAAAAGAACCAACTATTTCCTGCCCCGACGCTTTTTCAACGAGTTGGAGATTCGTAGATGGTCATGTTGACATGGCATGTCGCACAGTCCATCTTCCTCTATTTATATTACAAGGGTGTATCGGTTGCGGTGAGCGTCGGACTGACACCGTTGACTCGAGCCGTCTCTGTCGCTTCGTTCGCCTTCGTCGTATCAACCGCGTCGACGATGCCATCGACGCCTGCCTTTGTCTCTTTCGTTGTGGGTGTCTTCGGTCCACCATCTGGTTTCGACGCAGCCTTGTTCAACCTGCTCTTTGTGTAGTCGCTAAGACTCAGCTTCTTCTTGACCGGGCTAGGATGTGTGATGCCATTGACAGCAGGAGGCATCAGAGCGCTCGACGGAGCACCAGTCGAGGTGGAAAGCAAGGGTGCTTGCGAGTCAGTGGCCACTTGAGGCGTCGTGACATTGGCCACGGCTGATGTGGCGTCACCAAAAGCAGGGACTGGAGGCAGATGGACGCGCAACTCCGGCGACTTGACCTCCACCGGACTGCTGACTCCATTGACCTCAGGCAGCTGCGCCGTTGTTGTCGTGGGAGAAATCGACGCCGCATCTGTTGGGGGCGCGTCTGTCATCGGAACATCCTCCAGGCTCTTCGCCTCCGGCGTTGGCGAAGGGGGCAAGTGCTCCGATTCCTTGGGCAAGGAGGGCGAGTCCGACGTCCTCCGGGGGTCCACTGGAGGGTCGATTTCCATTGCCGTTGGCGTTGTTGGCGCGGGGAGCGATGTCCGACGCTTGAACTGGTCGACCCCATCACAGCGCGCCCGATGGCGGTTGTTGAGCAGACGTTGTGACAAAGAGATGATCCGTCGTCGAGGCTTCGGTGTCGGCTCTGCTTCGCTGTACCACTCACCGGCGACTGGATCGGTTTGAACAGACGCGTCGCAATACTTGGGCCTGGGTGCGGTCGATGCCGGTCGTGAGTTCGAGGCGACAGAGTCCGTTCTGGAGGTGGGGCCTTTGAACGGGTTCTGCCATCCTGTAGAGTGGGCGCTCGCTGGAGATCCCGATTTGCTACGTGACGTTCCAGCATCGACATACCTACTCGTACCATTGGAGCCAGAAGTGCTTGATGTGAGCGCGTTCTTTGACTTTGGCGGTTTGGTGTTGGTGCCATCAGATGTCCTCTTCTTTTTGCGAGCAGGAGGTTGTTGCTCCATGCGTCGGAAAGAGTCTTCGACCATTTGTACCTTACGCTTTTCTCTCTCCGTAGGCTCCGTCAAGATGCCGGGTTGATCGAGAGACCCTTGACGCAAAGGCGTGCGGTCTCGGCTTGGCGGCTTGCTTCGCTCTGACGTTGATCGACCGTCTTGGTCGGGGTCGTCGTTGTGGCTTTCGCTAGCTGCCCTGCTATTTGCTGCGTGTCCTGTACTAGTGGGAGAGATGGTATGCACTTTCGGCTTTCGTGACTTCTTCTTGGGCAGCTGGTTTCGAGACTGTGACCTGGCTTGATAGTGGCGATGGAAGCGAGCAAAGGCGCAGTTGCTACCAAGATCGCATGCGCAACCGCCGAATTCGGACAGAACGCGGTGAAGCCAACCGGATGTCTGCTGGTACTCGGCTTCGTCCATGTCTGGCTCATCTCGACCATTGACTTCGTCGTCGCCGAGGCCGATGAGGTGCATCATTCGCGCCTTCTGCAACTTTGGCAGCCGGAAGTCCCACGGCAGTGTAATCTGTTCGTTTGCGGCAACGAAACGATCGCTGACGAGCCAGAAATGGTATTCGGAAGTATTGGAAAGGTAGGTATCGAGGACGGCATTGGGCTTGCAGCTCCGGCGGACGTAGCGGGCTTGCGACATTTCGTTTCGTGTGTCAATGCACAGAGGCAGCATGGGGTGGAAGAATACAAACGGAAGAGGCGAGGTCAACTCTTCCCACAAGTTGGTCGGATCAGCACAGTAGTCTTTTTGGAACAGGATTTGACCGCACAGCTCGATCAGCGGGACGTCCTTATCTATCGCCGCCGGAGTCGTGAGATACTTCCATCGCAAGACGGTGTCGGGTGCCAACGGTATTTGCTTGTCTTGGACGACGAGTTGCTGCTGTCCTTTGCTGATGTCCGGGGGCAGCTTTTGAAAGACGTCGTTGTAGGACTCACCCGTCTCTTGCCTCATCATGTCGGGTTCCCGAAGCCAGAGAGACATTGTGTTGGATATCGCCAGGCTTGAGAAGGAGTTGCTTGGCGTTCTTTGAGGGTCAGTCTCGGGCTCGTTCCGATACAGCGTGACGAAGCGATCGGAATAACCGTGGATCTCAAAGTCGGTGGGCAGCTCGGGAGGACTCGTCGCAGGACTCGGGGGCTGCCCATTCAATCGTACGTTGCCGTCGGACGGGCTTCGCTTGTTTGCTTGTGAGCTGACAGAATTGGAAGGGCGATGGGAGCCCTTGGCCTTTTTGGCTGGGTGGTTGAGGTCGCCGGGGCTTCCGTGTTTGCCATTTTCTTGACCCACGGAGAGACCGTTCAATTGTAGGTCTGTTGGCTTCGGCTTCTTCTTGTGGCTTTTCGAGGGGGGTCGCCGAGGCTTCTTGTCCTGAGCGTCTTCCTGCGTGGAGCCATTCTTGAGTCGTCGCGTGCGCTCAATGGCTTTTTGTCGATCGAGAGGACGCGGCTTGCAGTCGGCGCACGAGTGAGAAAAGTCCTCGCGAAGTGCCTCTTCCTTGCGGTTCGGGTAATAGCACTCAATGTGTTGCCATGTGTCACATGTCTCGCAGTATATCGTGTTTCCATCATCATCAGAAAAGTTGCAAATGCACTTGATCGTGTACGGCTCCTCCTCAACGGCCTCAACCTTGCGCGCCGGAGCGGGTTGAGGAACGGGGATGGCTGGAGGAACGACATGTGCCTGACTAGGAATCGCAATCTGCGTCGGCAACGGTTGCGGGTTTTCGGTCATACTCTAAGGAGGGCCTCGCGTTGGTATAATTGCGGTCGGGAGGGTTATGGACGAAGCTGGTTACTGTTGCGGTCTGGGGAGCATGACGACGCTTGCCCAGACGCGCGTGAATGGGTAACCGAGCTGTTGTTTCGGAGCAACGACACCAGACGCGGCGCTCATTCGGCAGCTACCACGAGGCTCTCGACAATTGTGGCCAGAGATTGTGAACTGCTCGCTCGGAAGAGGTAGAGTAGACGTGGTCGGAACCGGCGCTCACAGCAACGGGGAGGGGATGAAAGGTAACGGGCAACAGAGATTAGGTCGAGAGACGAGTCGCAGATGTAGGTGGTGATCGCAGAGTGTCGGATTCGCAAGTGACACGTTCCGGGTGAGGATTTGTTGTGGAAAATTCTTCGTGGTCGCGAAAAGGACAGTCGTCGAAGACACGACGAGAACGGGGAACCGCGAGAGGGGCGATCACGAATTACGTCGAGTACATGCGCCTGGGAAACAAAGACGGCAAGACTTGGTCGAATGGTCAAGTCCAGATGTTGGAAGCCGATCCGGAGACTGGGTTCGAGGTTCGTCGGGAAGAGGCAACGCGAGTTGGTAGAGGGCGTCGTGGTCGAAGGGGGGAGGATGGGTGGGAAAGAGATTGGAGAGAGGAGGAGAGGGGACAACACGAAGAGAAAGAATGGATGGGGCAGGAGACTGGGCGAGCGCACCGAGCAATGGATTGGGGGGGGGGGGGGCGTGTGGGTGTCTGGCGTGGAGCGTGGGCGAGAAGACCTGAGCAGCTGGTAGGTAGGCGGGTTGGCTTGGGCTCAGGCCTGGGAGTAGGGAGGCACAAGAGCGAGACGGCAAGCGAAAAGACCCAGTGATTACCTCGACCAGACGGCAGGTATCTGGAGGTAGGGGGTCTGCGCTGGAACGGGAGCAGAGCCCAGCACTGGCGGGTGCAGCGCCGCGGCAGCAGGAGCATCCTAGTGTGCAGCAAGCAGCGCGCAAGGCAGGACAACTGGAGGGATGAGCAAGGCAGCAAGCACCGGGAAGCACCAGGCAGCGCCCGGGGGCCATTGGGGGTGCGAGCTGCTACCCTCCCTCCCTCCATCCATCCATCCTCCTCTCCTGTCCGTCTTCCGCCTTCCGCTAGGAAAGGCAGACCAGGCGTGCGCAGGAGATGAATGGACGATAAAACTGGAGAAAGGAGGTACATGGTACCTGTACTTCGAGAAGCGTGAGGAGCTAGCCCGAAAAAAGCGGTGGACTCGCTGATTTGGTGGCGGGCTCGCACCAATCAGAGCAGCACTGGCATGACTGTTGACTGGCCTCAGGCCGACGTTTCAGGCTGCAAGCAGAGAGGGTGGGATTCGAGAACGGGGAACTGGACCCAAGTCATGGGAGCCGACCTGACACGAAATTTGCTCCCGCAGATGAGGGCCTCGAAGTAAGAATGCTGGGCGGCATCTGAGCTTTCTCTGGCGTCGTGATGTGGAAGAAGGGCTCCAGGATCAAAAGGAAGAGATTTGGGAGAGGGAGGTCAACGCCGGACTTCTCCTCGCTGTTGCTGTTGCTGTTGCTGTTGCTGCAACATGCTGCGTGGCATGCCAGGTCTGAAGCGACCATAAGATCCAGGTGATATACATGGTATGAGACGATGGCAAACGGAGGGGGAAAAGGAAGTTGGTGACTGTTGTGTAAGCGATGCGCGCGAGGGCAAAGACCGAAAGGGCTTTGAGAGGCTGGACTTGGGAGGGGAGGAGCGGGAATGGAGGGCATGAATTCATGCAGGATTTATCAACAACAGCGGTCTGCCGTAGAAACCGGCATCAGCCAAAAACCTGGCGACTTGCGGCAGAAGTGCAGGGTTGGGAGGGGTCCCTCGCAGGTGTACAGGACTCGGTGAGTGGTCAACCTCGAGAAGCTAAAGGTATGGCCTCTCATATGATTGGGTCATCAGTCGTCTATGTACCGCTACTTACTGCCACCAAGCGATGCGACACCAATTTCGAGTCATCAGGCTAGAGGCTTCCCAAGTCGCGGTACTTTTTAGTCTGCTCCACGGTTTCGAGATAGGATGTGGTCTTATTGGTCTGTACTACTAGACTGGCATTGAATTCTTACAAATCCCTGCCCGGCGGGCACTGGTCAGTGGCTGTCTCCACGAGATCGCCGTCTTTGACCTTTGACCCAGGCACCGACGGTGTTTACGTAGATCAGGTCGTATGCCAGTTCCTGGGCTGCTCCAGCAGGGGAATGGCTCATCGGAGGTGACGGTCTGCAGTGAGAGACGTTGAAGTTGAACGAGGCAACCCGAACAAATGAAATAGTCCGCCCAGAGATTGCCAGTACTTCGTGTTTACCTGTGCCTCGCCAGCATTGGAGGGCGCAAGATGCATCTGTTGACTGGTAGACACAGCCGCTTCCGACGTCCAACTTCTATCCGTCGGCACCGACATGGCTGACGTGGGTATCCATCTGTGTGTTACCGGATGGCTTGTCATACCTTTGTTGGAGCAAGCAGGACCTACATGATAGAGGCATGGCTGAACACAGTCAGGCTGTGGTGCCTTGAAGTGCATATCATACACAGTCTCAAGACGGCTTTTAGGGTTGAACAGAGTTTCATGATAGACTTTTGTCGCGCCCGCCATGTTTAAGCGCCCTGTCGGGACAGAAAGCAACATGATCGCCACTGTACTTGACGACTCCAGGGCGAGCTCCGGCAGTCCGCTTTCTTCAATCAAGGATACTCGTGTGACCATGCTCGAGTATTCCGAGAATAGTTTTAATCTATAACATAGATCATCGTTGATGCCGTAACCGGCGAGACATGAAAATGCTGGGAGGAATTGTCTTGGTCAAACGCGCGAGGCTGGGCTGTGGAGTGGAAATGGCAAGTACATGTAGCCAGGGTCGCAGGAGAAGCACTGCATTGTCTGAGGCGGGCTGGCAAATGTGATGCATCCAGCAACGGGAGGCAAGGGGAAGATAAGAAAGCGGGCGTGATAGTCAAGGCCGTTTAGATAGCATCACGTGGGGCTTCCTGGTCCGCTGGCTAAAGGCACCTTGGTGGCGGTGCAACGAATCATCGACCACTTGGTCGCCCCATGACGTGCTCACTGCCTGACGCCCGGGCCAGGTCTTCCTTGCAAGCCAACCAACTTGCAGCCTCCCTCGCCCGTGCCACTGGGCCTCCGCCTCCGCACCCAACCACCGGCTGAGTTGTGCGAGGTACCTCTTCAGTCATCAGCCGTCTCCAACTCAACAACATCCTTACGATATTGACGAACGCCCAAACCAAACGACTCCACGAGGCTGTACGAAGTAGAAACAATCACCGAACACTCAGAAATCTACGGACTTGAAGTTTACGCCATGCGTTTCACTTCCGCTATACTCGCTGTCCTCTCTGTTGGTCTTGTCCCGGCATCGGCCAGGTCCGTCCTCGTTGAGCGGGACCAGAGCATCATTACTGGCGATGATCGGAAGATTCCTGGCGACTCACCACTCGAGCTGTGCGATAAGGACCACGGGAAGGATATCGTTCACATCAAGAAGGTCGACCTCTCGCCCAACCCTCCCAAAGCGTACGTTTGCTACTCAGCCTCGCGAGGCATTCCTCATTATCGACGGGTGCTAACCAAGGGTGGACAGTGGCGAGGACCTTGTAATCACAGCCAGCGGAACAGTTGACGAAGATATTGAGGAAGGGGCCTACGTTCTGCTTCAGGTCAAGTACGGCCTCATTCGCCTTATCAGCACCAAGGCGGACTTCTGTGAGCAGGTTGGCGAGGTCGACCTGGAGTGCCCCATCAAGAAGGGCGACCTGGCCCTCACAAAGACTGTCAAATTGCCTGCTGAGATTCCTCCTGTAAGCATCATCCGCTCCAACAGCGCGGACATACCACTGACACCTGCCGCAGGGAAAGTACACTGTCTTCGCCGATCTTTACACCAAGGACGACGAGCCCATTACTTGCTTGACGGCCTCCGTTGCCTTCTCTCGTGGAAGCCTCCTTGGATTTGAGCTGTGAGGGTCGACTGGCAATGATTCCAGCTCAGATTCTAGTGATTAGTTGGCTGAGCGGGGCAGCACATGTTGTAAACCTCTTTTGCACATAAATCAGGTCGCGAACGTCGTTTTGTCGTTTTCTGTAGCATTGACGAAGTCCGAGCATGGGCACTCTTAACGTAGCAAAGCTGGCGCTCTTAGGCATTCATAGGATAGGTAAATTGTACTTGGCATCAACAGCCACTGCTCAAAGCCTCAAGAAGTCGTTGTGACCCCCACCGAGCCTCTGCTTCGTCAAGCATGACGCCGGCTTGTATGTGCTTCTCTCCTCTAGCCGTGACGCCATCCCGTGTATGCGTGATTTACTCGCCAAACAGCCTCCTAACCCTCCTCAGCACGCTGTCCTTTTCGGGATCGTAGGGGTGGTCTTTGCTGGGGATTTCGAGCACCGTAGGGAAGGCCGCCGTGTACGTGTCAATCCGATGCCTAATCTTGTCGGCAATCTATACAGAGGTCAGCGCCTTAATAGCGTATTGCGTTGCAGCCATCTCATCTACGCACATGCTGATTGATCAAAATGATACCAATATCCTTTCGCTCAGTTGTGAAGCTTTCGAATGCCTTCTCGATTGCAGAGGTCTCCGTCTTGCTGTCAACAACGAGGAAGTTCTTCGCCTGATCTGCACCAGTGTTGACGTGCTGGAATGACCGGTTAGATATGCGCACGTCGACTTCGAGGGAGGGGTTACAGCAAAACGTACCCCGATGCCTGCGAGGAGAAGGCCCGTGACAGAGTCCTAAGTATTGGGTTAGTGGACAGCACAGACAGACTGGTGCTTGAGCGCAATTCGTACCTCGTCGCCAATGACAGCTAGGAATTGCCTGTCTTTGTAATCGGCTTGCGACGCCATATTGAGGGTTTGCTCGTTGGTACGAGACCGAGCGAGGTTGTAGGTGGTGGTTGGCGTTGTCGTCCAACGTCAAGTGCCAGGAACAAGAGCAGACAGACTAGACGGACTCGTCGCCCAGTGGTGGGCTGGACAGCGACAGTCAGCGGATGAGAGCTCTGACCGCCCATAAGCCCAGGCAGCACCCCCTGGCACCCCACACTGCGTGGATGTGGTGCCTTTTGGCTGCTGGCTCCACCTGGACGTCACCCCAGGCTGCACCTTGGGCGGGACAAAGAAATTGAAGCTTCCAGTGTAAACAAAACGTCCGTTCTACACCTCGGAACCAGTCAGCCTCGCCTCCGTCCCGCTTCATCCACGGACGGATACTTGAATCGGTATCTCGTTCGATACGGTCCATGTGAAGCATATTTTGTATTGAAAAGGACAAAAAATGCCGCGCATGGTCAGGCGCAAGCCTTGGGCCGAAAGGGTCAAGGCGATGCTCAACCCCATGGACTTCCTCCTCTGGGTTTCCGAGGAGCTCGAGACAAGGGACTGGGAATCCAAGGCGCTGGGCACGAAACTCGGCTTGGCCTTCAATTTCATCTTCCTCATCGCTCGAGCTAACTGCGCGGCGTCTGAGGCTCATGATGATGTGTTCAGCGATGGGGTCAGCAGTCGTTTGACCAACTATATGGTACGCTCTGAACGTCTCCGTTCCTTGAAGAAACTTAGACTGACTTTGAACAGATCCGACCCCTCTCTTGGATCCTTGTTCTTTTATCGGGCGCCAACGCCTTCTACACAATGACACGTTCAAGACACTATCGACTCTTCGAGGTCAACGTCGAGCAAGCGCCTCAGACCCCTTCCGCCCACCGTGTCAAGGTTCAGTCTTCGCCAGTTGCTTCGTCGCCCCTCCGCTTCCTGTCCAACTTGATAGTCCCCGAAACAGCTGAATCGAGGGCGCACCCGGATAAGACGAGAGATGTATGGGAACTGGCCGTATGGGATCCTCTTCCCGTTTCTCTGCAGCTCTTCTCTCTGTTCAGTCCAGGCCACGTCCTCGTCTACATGTTGTTCCTGCCGCTCGAAAACCTCGACCCAAGACCGAGCGTCACCGTCTTCAATTGTTTGACATTGCAAGTCATTCTCAGCGTGCAGATGCTGCTTCTCCAGTCGCGCTTCTCTCAACAAATCAAGGATACAGCCATCATTCACAAGGAGGTCCTCCACGAATACGACACGAAATTTGTTCACCCTCGACTTCATCCTTTGGTTCGCGACGTGGGCACGCAAGCCTCGTTTGAGGAAGAAGACGAGGAGGATGGCGAAGGCGACTTTGTCGAACTGGGCACGCCGACAACCGTTATCAAGAAAGAGTTTCAGACCCACCCGAACCCGAACTACATGCGCCACGTTGATCCTGAGCACACGCCTGCTCGACCTCATCGCAATGTCCAACACAGCGCCGTGGCCTCACGGCTTTTCACCCCATCCAGTCAAGCAAGACGCTCTGGGTCATTTACGCCCGTACCAAGCACACGGTCTCCTTCCCGACAGAGCCTGCCAGCAGGCGTCTCCGCGGCCGCCACTCCCAGCGCCTCGACGACCACAGGAACGCAGTACGGTGGCAACCTCGGCGTCTTCTCACACACCAAATCACCTTTGAAGAAGGCCTCAAGCCTCTACGACCTCAGCACGGACTATGCGTCGCCGAGGAACTCGAGGGAAATGGCGGCGCTTGAACAGCGGAGAGCAAGCCCAGTCAAAGACAACCGGCGACTGACAACGGCCAACGACGGAGATGAAGCCCCGATCAACCCATTTGCTCAGACGCAAAAGAATCGGTTCAGTCAGGAACGTTATCCCAAGATGTGGGCACGTTAGGACGCAGGATTTATGTTGAAAGAAGTGGAAATGCGGGTACATAAGAGCATGGACGGCGTTGGGGTTAATCACTTTCAGTCAATTACACAAAATTCCTACCATCACTCTGCTTTTGCGTCCCACGCACTACGTTCTGCACATGCTACCGACCACCCCCGCCAGGGCTAGCGCCCAATATTTCTCCTGGTTTGTGTATGCCCATGTTGTCGTGGGGGCGCCCAGTATGGGGTGTCCATCGTTCTTGCCATCGCTGCAGCGAGTCACATGCCTGGTTCGCACTACGCGCCTAACAGGCCCTCGTTCAGTCTGCTCACTCTATAAATATGCTACCGGCGCGAGTCATCTCGCCGCTGCTGTCATCATCGTCATCATCATCATGGCAGCAGTGTTCGACAGGGTTAGGCGGATTCTCCCGAGCAATCGCCCTGAGAAAGGGGGCACACTGCGTGTGCCGACGCCCATCCCGAGAACCGCACACAGTTCAGACCAGTTGACGAGCTGGAACACCGCGAAGGAATTGCCGAGAATCCCATCGCCCCCAGCGCCCGTAACGGAGGCTCAGCGAAGAAAAGAGCAACGACGGCAGCTGCGCGAGAGCGGCGATTACCTCGGTGTTCAGGGCGTCAACCCGAGCACCGGCGAACTCGACACCATGACATCCTCAAGCGGCTCCCAGGCCAGCTACCTCGATGAAGAGCTGCGGCAGAAGCTGTTGGCCGTCAAGAGGCGCGGCTCGCGTGCCTTGGGCTTGACCCCGGATGATCACGCTTCCATACTACAGCGGGAGAGGCAGAAGCTACTGGACGCCGGCAGCAGCAGTGCGGACGTCCTGCGGGCGCGAAAGTCGGTGCGCTGGCGCCGAGATCCCGGTCAATGGTCGTCGGTGATCGAGCCCGACCTCAGTCCAATCAGTGGGTCACGTCAGGGGTCGACTACGGACCTGGAGCCAAAACTTCAGCCGTCTGGCGAGGTTCTGGAATCGCGGCGAGATGCCAATCATTCCTCGGATACCATCATACATACACCCGCGCGAAGACGGTCATCCATTTTCCCAGTCGATAACGTGCCGATACCCCAAGATATTCGTGCCAATAACTACAACGAATCCGAAGAGCGAGAGGGTTTGCGCGTCAGTTTTGTGGACACACATCCAACTGTCATTCCTTCAGACTTTCGAAGATCAAGACAGCGTTCGCTTCCTCTACAACTGTCGTCGCATGACTGTCCTCAACCCAGCCTGCAGAGTCCAGGGGAGGAGGAGCTGACGCCCGTGAGGGAAGCGATAAAAAGTGACTCTCGCGTATGTCTTCACACACATCACCACCACTACTGGCTTCGACAGGAGGAGGATGAGCTACCCTCCCGCGTGGACACCGAGTATATTGCAGAGCTCAAGGGACCGCTGCACCGCAACACTTACTCGCGGGACTATGTCAGCCCGTTCGCTGAGTGTCACGAATCGATGAAGTCTGGCGCTGTCTACGTCTCGACAGCCACGCAGACGGACGTGAAGGAGGTGGTTGAGAGAAAGCGCCGACATCGGGTGTCTTTCCGTAGATGATATGCTTAGGCTGTATAAATTGGAAAATAACTTTGGAAATTGTTACCTTTGTCGACAAACCCTCTTTGAGCTCTGTCTGTGTATGATGGCGAAAGGTTAAGCGCCACCAAACGATTAGCCTGCCGCAACCCTGAACTCCCCCAATGGAAATGCTTTGGGATGTCAGCGACTGCCTGTATCTGCTGTCCAACTTTCGGTCTCGGGCGCTGCCCGTTGCTCTTGCTAGCTACTGGTCCCATGTTTGTTGATACATCTGTGCGTCCCAGACAGCAAACGAGGACAACATATGCCTTCAATTCAAGTTGCCATGATTGGCCACTGCAAGCACAACGGAAGACCTTCAGACAGGATTTGAGCCCGGCTATCCCGTAGTGACATGGCCTTACTATCGCTGATTACCAAAACATTGGAGTCAGTGGTAGGCTGATTGGAGCAAGAGTGCTACTTGGCCTCAGCCTCTCGAGGGGAATTCGACCTATGATCTATGCATCGTAGAAAACGTAGCAGAAGAGTCCCCTATTTCCAACCTCATGAGTTTTTGATAGCGGCTAGCGGACAAGCAGAGCTCGTTCGGGGGGCCTCCACTTGAAGGCTGGTGGCTTGCAGGTGCGGGGCCGAACTGCTTCTTCAGGGGTAAAGCTCGAAGTAGCCTCATGAGCCAATTGCCTATGAATGAGACAGACGATGTTTGGGAAACTCGATAACTATTGAAGCTGCTGGATGGACACAAAAAAAAATAGACTTTGTGGTGATTCGGTCGTCAGTAACCAGATAGAGTCAAAGGGAAATCTCTATAACGAATGCCGTGAGACCGTGCTGATATGCTGGATGCTGCCGTGAGACGAAAGCCAGCCAGGTACCGGGGCACAGTGCCGGACAATGGCCTCATCGCCTCGATGATCATAGTCTCCCACACACGCGTGAAGTCAATACCGAATGGGACCCAGTCGCGATTGCACAAGACGTGGCTGCTGTTCCGAGACCGGCCAGCTGGTTGAAGGCTGCCAGACGTCAGCACGGCGCGGCACGAGGGACAGGGGGGGTGGGTGAGCTACCCCGGAACTGAGCTGACCTCTCCACAAGCCTGTACGGCACCTCTTGGCAGATAAGGCGGGCGGGCAGGTCGAGGGAGTCGCATCAGTCCAGTTAGCTTCTCGGCCGAGTCGATGGGCGCGATGATCTGCAGCCAGACAGATGGACACATTGTGCAGCTGGCTGGCACACCCCATGGTCAGCTCCTAGCTCCCAGCTACCTGGGCTGGCGCGTACTCCTCGTCTTCCGCCTCGCAACCTGAATACGTATCCCTTTACTGGCTGTCCCTGCAAAGCAGGGGCGGCGAGCGCCGATGTGGTATTATGACTCAACAAACCTAGCTGTGGATGCCGTGCCCAAGCCCTCTGGTGGTGTTGCTGTCCCACTTGTTTCCAAGGCCAATATCCCAACGGGCAAGTCATTTTGTCACAGTTGTTAGGCCTGGGCAAATTCAAAGTGAGGCCCAGGCCGATCGGGGTGGGACCAGCGGAGCGGTAGGGAGCCGGGGCTCCGACGCCGGAGACGGCGCCGATGAGAGATTCACACTATTGTACATCGTCGAGTCGGATGACCCTTCCGTGTCCGTCTGCATGACCCCCCCTCCAGATAAGTACCTGCCTCACTGTCCCCCTTCTCGCCCTCTGCTCTCAAACGACACGGGCGACGATATCTACCGAATGCTACGCTGCATGGTGCGAACGCAGGTGATGATGGATCAGCAGGTTTTCATTCGCTGCTCGTCACGATACACGACGACGGTGGAGCTGCAGTAAACAACTAATTGGTACCTTTGCAGGACCCTGGCAGCTCTGGCTGCAAACCGGACGCCCCATGTTGAGCCCGAAGACCGGATCTGCATCTCGACAATGTATGATGAGTGAGGCGCAGGCTTCAGAATAGTTGCCGCCGCTAGGCGGTGACCGAGGTGAGGGAATCCGCCGGGGGGGCGAGCCCCGCAGTGGGCGCGCAAGGCCAATTAGCGGCAGTGATTTGCAAATCCGGCCAGTACCCCGCGTTCCGATCGCGGAGCGCCCTTGCTCGAAACCATCGACTCCGAGCATCGGACTCCTCGTCGACGAGGGCTTCCTCACCAACGGAATTTGTCTCGATGTCATGGGCAATGGAGGGGCCGGATCCATTTGGGGGGCCTGAGGGACGGGGATTTTGCATTTTGTGCCTGCCTTTTTCAGGAACGATTTGTGACTGCAGATCCAGCTGGAACAGGCGACATCGTCCCAGACACCCCGAAGCACCTCATTCATTCCTCGCCCCAAAATAGCTCCAGCACTTGACTGCCCTCACTCAGTGCTACTACATAACAGGCATTCCCCCCGCGCTTGCACCAGTCGGGCAATATATTCCATCCAAAGCTTCCTCCCATCCATTTCGCTTTCCCTCCTCTTCCGCTTGCCGATTGTCCCCTTTCCTCCTCTCCCACCATTCTTCCCCTCCCTTCCCTCTTTCCCTTTTTCATCAACCAAACACCCCTCCTCCTAGTCACACCCAGACCTGGACATTCGGTCCCGCTACCACCTCCTCTCTCAATCATCGGTCAGAGCTTCATTCATCAATTGCAAAAACAAAAACCCCTATCCATATTTCCTCGAGGACGATTCCTCCCAAACAACAAACATGCCCGTCGCCGAAGGTTCACCGCAAACCCTCTACGACAAGGTCCTCCAGGCCCACGTTGTGGACGAGAAGCTGGACGGCACCCTCCTCCTCTACATTGGTACGTTCTTCCGCCTTGCCCTCCTCATGGGCTCGTTTCCATCCTTTGATGCGCTTTCGACTGACGCACTTTACCAGATCGCCACCTCGTTCACGAAGTCACCTCACCCGTAAGCCCACCCCTGGCTGCGAAATCGTCAACCCCGATGACGTCGTGTCGCCCAGACCCACTAACCCTATGCCGCAGCAAGCCTTCGAGGGCCTGAAAAACGCTGGCCGCCAAGTCCGACGACCCGATTGCACTCTTGCGACCACTGACCACGTAAGTCGGCATCCTGCTGCGCTGGCGCTGCGGCTCCGTCGGAGAATTTCGAGGCACTAACAAACCGGCTTGGCAGAATGTCCCCACGACGTCCCGCGCGTCCATGAAGGATATCGGTTCCTTCATCGACGAGGATGACTCCAGACTCCAGTGCATGACTCTCGAGGAGAATGTCAAGGACTTCGGCCTCACCTATTTTGGTCTCGGCGACAAGCGCCAGGGTATCGTTCACGTCATCGGCCCTGAGCAGGGCTTCACCCTTCCCGGTACCACCGTCGTCTGCGGCGACAGCCACACTTCCACCCATGGCGCTTTCGGCGCTCTCGCCTTTGGCATCGGCACCAGCGAGGTCGAGCACGTTCTGGCCACCCAGTGCCTCATCACAAGGCGGAGTAAGAACATGCGCATTCAGGTTGATGGCGAGCTGGCCCCTGGCGTCAGCTCAAAGGACGTCGTCCTGCACGCCATCGGCATGATTGGAACTGCTGGCGGCAACGGTGCCGTCATTGAGTTCTGCGGCTCCGTCATCCGCAGCCTGAGCATGGAGGCGAGGATGTCCATCTGCAACATGTCCATCGAGGGTGGTGCGCGAGCCGGCATGGTCGCCCCCGACGAGATCACGTTTGAGTACCTCAAGGGCCGCCCCCTGGCCCCCAAGGTTGGATCGGAGGAATGGGAACGCGCCACGACGTACTGGAAGTCGCTTCAGTCGGATGCTGGCGCCGTTTACGACATTGACGTATTCATTGACGCCAAGGACATCATTCCTACCGTCACCTGGGGCACCAGCCCTGAGGATGTCATTCCCATCACTGGCACCGTCCCCGACCCCGAGACGTTTGCGACTGAGGCAAAGAAGGCTGGCGGCCGCAGAAAGCTCGCGTACATGGGACTCGTCGCGGGTACGCCCATGGATCAGATTGTTGTCGACAAGGTCTTCATTGGCTCGTGCACAAACTCGCGCATCGAGGATCTGCGCGCCGCCGCACATGTCGTCAAGGGCAAGAAGATTGCGGCCAACATTAAGCGCGCCATGATTGTTCCTGGCTCCGGTCTCGTCAAGGACCAAGCCGAGGCCGAGGGCCTGGACAAGATTTTCACCGACGCTGGTTTCGAGTGGAGAGAGGCTGGTTGCTCCATGTGCCTCGGCATGAACCCCGATATTCTGTCGCCTCAGGAGCGCTGTGCCAGTACCTCGAACAGGAACTTTGAGGGTCGCCAGGGTGCCGGTGGCAGGACGCATCTGATGTCCCCCGTCATGGCCGCTGCTGCCGCCATTGTCGGCACCCTCACCGACGTGAGGAAACTGTCTGAATACAAGACCAGCCCCCATGTCCAGGCCGCCATCGCGCCTGTTGCTAAGCCCCACGTCGACGAGCGCGTTGAGGAGAGTGCCGCAGAGAGGGACCTAATCGGCGACCAGCCCGAAGACAGCCAACCTCACGTCAACTCGTCTGTGTCTTCCAGCTCCGCAGGTCTCCCCAAGTTCACCACCCTCAAGGGTATCGCCGCGCCTCTGGATATGACCAACGTCGACACTGACGCCATCATCCCCAAGCAGTTCCTCAAGACAATCAAGCGTACCGGTCTCGGATCTGCTCTGTTTCACGAGCTGCGATTCAACGGTGACGGTTCTGAGAACCCCGCCTTTGTTCTGAACCAGGACCCCTACCGCCAGGCCAAAATCCTTGTTGTCACCGGTCCCAACTTTGGATGCGGTAGCTCTCGTGAGCACGCCCCCTGGGCCCTGCTCGACTTTGGCATCAAGACCATCATTGCGCCGTCGTACAGTGACATCTTCTTCAACAACACGTTCAAGAACGGCATGCTGCCCATCATCGTGTCCAACAAGGACGATCTGGAAGCCATTGCCGCCGAAGCCCGCGCCGGCCGGGACGTCGAGATCGACCTCCCCAACCAGCTAATCAAGAACGCGACTGGCTCTACGATCTGCAGCTTCGATGTCGAGGAGTTCAGGAAACACTGCCTCGTCAATGGCCTTGATGACATTGGCTTGACGATGCAGATGGACGACAAGATCAGCGAGTACGAGAGGAGAATGTCCAAGCAGACTCCGTGGTTGGACGGCACTGCCTATCTCAAGAGAAAGGGCAGGAGTAACCAGCTTGCGGCGAAGCCAGTCCCAGTTCCCAAGACCAACCGTGGCGAGACGAAGACGGAGCCCCTCGAGTGGTAGGCTGGCGTGGTGTGCAGGGGAACGAAACTTATCGTTATGGGACGAATTTTATTGCTATTTACGACGGTGTGATGGCACCAGGCGCATTATTATCGCGGGAGATTTATGACCTGGTCGATCCCTATTCAGGGCGACCCAGGTTTGGATATCACAGTCGTCCTTAATCTGGACAACTACGACTTGGAAAAAAGTAGGGGGCCACTGCGGCCATTCATAGCAAAGATATCATTTTCGCAAGACTTGTCAAGTACGCTTTTCTCGCCCACTCCTTGTAGTGCCATGTGATGCAACCTGAACCGCATCAATCCCGTAAGATGCCCACGTGGACCACGAACCCGGACCCGACGGCCAGTCCTTCGCCTACAACTTGATCTGGCACCCGCCAAACGCGGAACCGCCGATGGAAAGCCTTCAGCCACGCCTCGAACACCTCGGGCGACCGCAGCTGCTGCGCAACAATACAGAGCGCAGGTTCCCCTGATGTCGCGTCCTCATCCCTCCTCCGCAAAAGACACGCGTCGACAGACGTCTGCACGAGCGGCTCGACAAGCGCATCGTTGTAGATGCAGTCACACGCGACGACGAGGTCAAAGCTCCTCACGTCGTCGCTCCGCGTCAGCGCCGGCGTCACCTCGTCGAGTTCCCAGTCGAGCGGCTCGAAGAAGACGTCGTGCCCCGTCGGCGCCGGCGCCGGCTGCAGTGAAGAAGCCGAAGCCCGCCCCTTGGCACCGCGTCGCGCCGGTGCCGGCGCCCTCGCCCTCTCGTTGGCGTCGAGGTTCCGCTGCACGAGGCGCGCCACGTACGGCTGGTCCGTCAGCACGTAGCGGCCCACGCGGGGCCCGCAGGCGAGGCCCGTCAGGGCGCTGATGCCGCAGCCGAGCTCGAGGACCGCGGTGTCGCTGCTGCTGCTGCTCGCCGCGCCCGTCGGTGCCGGCGGCAGAAACGGACAGCCCGGGGACGACAGGAAGGCGGCGAACAGCGGGGTGATCTTCCAGAGGACGGCGCCCGTCGTGCCGCCTGCGCGCGAGGAGGCGAGGAGGGTCGGCGACTGGTGGATCGTGAAGTCGCGGTTCGGGGGCAGCGTGATGTCCAGCTCCGCGGCGCGGGGGTCGATGAAGCCCAGGTTCGCCGAGGGGATGGGGGCGGAGAAGAGGGCAAAGGTTTCTGTGCATTTTTTCTGTCTTTAGCACAAGTCCGGAACAAGGCTTCATGTTCATGGTCGTGGGCAATTTGCGGTTGCTTCTCGTGTTACCTTCTTCGGGGTCGAGGACTTCGTCCTCAAACGATTCAAGGAGCTCCAGCACCCTCATTTTGCTGTATCTTCAAGTGCGCGTGGGCGAATGGATGAACGGCCGGTCAAGTCTAGTAACACTGCGTTTAGTATTGACACCCAAAGGCCGCATAACCGGTGAGTTGGTTATATATTCCTTTAAAATGGAACAAGACACCCACACACAGTCCAAATGAAGGTCGAGGTGACCCGAGTTTTCCACAGCAATACAGTGTTATTTGGTAACAATTGATCACTGTGCCCGAACCACTGTCAAGCCATTCCCTCCCCGTACTATTTGTTCCATCCAATTCATTCCTGCTTCAAAGCAGATCTATCATGCTCAGTCCTTTGAACTAGCTGTGCGCCGATGCACCCCATATCTACGCTAATAATGCCATGCCTAAATCAGTCATTACGTTCCATCATTCAGTTTACCATGTGTCTGGTCCAAAATGCGCGCCCTCGGGCAGCGTCTTGTAAGGGCACGCCTGCCAGTCGCAGCCCTGCTTGTAAACCTCTGTTCCCCACCAGCTGAAGCCCTTCATCAGGCCCGGGTACACAAAGCCAAAGAAGACAATCACGATACCGAATGCCAATCCTGAGTCGAGCGCCGCGCTCATTGTCATGGTGTACTTGGCCCACCACGCGCTCGCGCGGCGTTTGATGTGGTAGTTGAAGACGTAGCACACCAGCACCCACACCGAGAAATTGAGTCCTGTGGCCGGTGGAATCCAGGACATCGTGCCGAACACCAGCGGCAGGTTGATTTTTCGCACAATGCTGTTCTTCTTGTTGCGACTGTATAGCCAGAGCGGGATTGGCAGAACGGCCCCCAACAGGAAGAACCAGACAAGGCCCCTGTAGGTCGCGTTGGGTCCGAAGAACTCGCCGGGCCCGACAACGCCCCATAGGATTGAGCCGTTGAAGTGAACACGAGCGAACGGGCAGGTGAATCCATTGACCGCATCCTTGGTGCAAATGCCGGGAACGTTGGCGAACATCCAATTGAGCACAAAGATCTGTGTGATCGACGAGACCACGGTCGCCGCCATCTGAACGGAGAACATGATGCGAGGAGGGATCTTCATATAGTGGCCGAGTTTGAGGTCCGAGGCAAACTTGATGCCCTGCGCTGAGGAGATGTAGCCGTATGTCACAAACACCATGTTCGCAATAGGTCGTCCGGGGAAGACAGCACCGCAGATCAGCTGGCAAATGAGATAAATGCTGCTATGCTGGTTCGTCACTGCCATGATGATGCCGTTGGGAATAAAGAAGACAGCACAGACGCCCAATGCAAGTAGCAATCCATACCATGGCAGGTGAATCGGGTAGCTGCAAGCAAAGTTAGTGGAATGAATCCGCTGCATGACGTTGTACGTACTATTCAACAACAAATATTCCTATCGCCAACATGGAAACGAATGTCATAAGGTACCACGAAATGGGGGCATCTTTGTACCGTCTCATCAGTCGGCTGTGCACATCCTCCTTGAAGAGATGGCTGTCTGAATTTGTGGATGCCCTTGACAGGCCCGGCGTTGCTGGGCTGTCTGGTGCGGCAAAATCGGGTTCGTTTGAAACAGGCTGGTAGGTTGGTTTGCCATCCTCCCGCGCCTCCTGCCAAGATGTCTTCCAAGTCTCCCACATGTCTTTTCCATGCCAGCAGGCCGTATGCGTGAGCAACGCAGCTAGACCTGCGAATTGCACTCCATAACTCAGCACGTAGGTGATGGGCAGGAAGACACGGCTGTAGTTCGTGTAGGCCTCCTTGTCGAAGAGAAACTCGTCAGTCAGGATGCGGCTGACGTTGTAGACGTTTCCGGTGTTGTCGAATACAGCTGACGACAAGATTGGCATGTAAGAAGAGTAGAACATGTTTCCGTAGTAAGCAATCGGCGCGACGAACCACATGACGACGAACATGCCGCCAATGACATTCATTGCCGCCCAAAATGGTACCAAGAGCGGAGAGCCAATGTAAGAGATCTGCGCCCAATCGAAAGTCAGGGGAAAGAGGCCAAGTCCAGACGACACCCCGAACAGGTTTGCAATGACGACGTTCTTCGGTGCAAACCAGGTGATGACGTTGAAGTAGCTGAGACACGGCATGAGGAGTCCCGGCAGGAAATAGAAGACGAAGGCTCCCGTCCACACAATGTAGAAGAATTTCCATCGGGACATGCGCCAGCCATTGGCCGGTTTGTTCTCCTCCTTATGGAGAGTGCCAAACATCGCAGCAGACATGAGCGTGCCGGGCCAAATCATGCCGCCAGGACGAACCAGAAAGCGGCGCGTAATGCCTGCAAAGGCGTAGCCCAGAATCTGGGTCGACAGGATGAGCAACAGCTGATACGGAATGGTAGCCTCCTGGTTATAGAATCTCGATTGCTCAACGATGACGTCTGTTGCGAAGGCGAAACCAAAGGAGACGTTGCTACTCACGTAGACACACGTGTGCTCCTTTTCGTTCCATCTTCCCTGGGCCAGCCAGAGGCGGAAGCGACTCCATCGTGTTCGCCTTTCGGGGTGGTCGTCCAAGATGTGGTCGAGAACGCCATCCTCGAAGACTTCACGGGGGTCGGCGGGAGACTTGAGCATGTAATCCCACATGAGACCAAGAGGGTGTACTAGTAACAGGGCAATCACAGGTGTAATCGAGACGCTCGGGTATCGTAGCGAGAAGAAGAGGTTTGTTGAAGAGCCGAGGACGGAAAACAGTGTAGAAAGAATCCACATCCTTGGGGTGTTGATTGACAGCGTCGTGTTGTCTACGGGAGAGACAGAAGCGCGAACGGCATCATACGGCGAATCATCGACGGGCTCTGGACTGTGTTCGCTCCCCGAGTCATCAACACGGTAGTCGTCGTCGTCGTCATCCTCGTTGTTCTCGGAGGCTTTCACCTTGTCACGCAGCACATGGCTCGGCAGACTCGACTGCGCGAGTCCAAACCGTCCGTCAGGACCAGTAGCCAGTATGGCGCCGTCGACATCCTCTGCCAGGCGTGAAGGTTTCCTCGTGAGCGTAGACTGCCGGGAACCGTCTCGCGAGACGGTACGCAGGAGTACGTTCGACTCGCTGCCCGTGGGCGAAACGTTGCCGCTCGTGGGTTGTGAGACGGAGCCGTAGGAGACATTTCTTCCTGTCGAGAGCAGATGGGGGGGCTTGGGAGCCATCGCGCCGTCGTTCAGTTGGGCGGGAGGGGTGTGTGGACGTGAGGTATCGATGCCTTCCCCACCATGTTCGGAGGCAAAGTCGTGGTATGAGGACGTCGCAACGTCGGTCTTGTTCTCTCGGGCAGTACGCGTGCCGGCGCTCGCTGTCGAAGGTTCGGTTCGGAGACGTTGGCGCAGAGGTTCGAGGCGCAGGGGAAGAGGTTCGCCAGGCTCGGAGGGCTGTAGAAGGGGGGTTCCGAGCTCGCTTAGGGGATGTTGGTATGGGGAATTCGAAGCAGACGGATTCCTATCACCCAACATGGCCTTGGCTAGAAGTGTCCAAGTGGGTGGAAGAGGGTCTTTGTAGCTCGGAGGAAGCACAGGGGGGGGGGGAGGCACAGGGCCAGCTCACGACCACCAACGGGACGGGAGGTGCAGATCCAAACGGTGCCGTGACAGCCCAGGCAGGCGCGGGTGGGGGTCGGCGCTCCTCGTCTCTCCTTCTTCTTCCGCAGACGGTGCTTCCCGTGCCTGATGGATGGATCAGCACGACTGAGAAGTGGACGTGGGCAGGAACATGGGATGGGTACGCGAGGGGCGCAAGGGGCGTCAGCAGCTGGGTCAGGTGCAAGGGCAGTGACGAACGGTCAAACTTGGAACACGCGCCTGCCCAAGTTGAGTGGTGTGGTTGTGTGGATGTAGTGGATGTGGTGGATGTAGTGGATGTGGTGGATGTAGTGGACGTTTGGGAGGGATGCGTAGGCAGGGGCGGCACGCAGTCCGCAGTGTGCAGCAGGCAGGTGCATTGGTGTGGTGCAGCGCAACAGAAGCAGCGCAGGCGCAGTCGGTGTGGATTCCGTCCCTTCTGTTTGGTGGGGGGGCCAGGGAGGAAGGCACGAAGGCTTGGGCACTTGCGACTGATGAGGTCAGCTCGCGGCTTGGGGCGGCCTGGGCGGGTACGAGGCTGCCAGGCCCACCAGTCACAGATTCGCGCCCCGAAAGCAGACAGGGGAACCTGGACCACGCCGAGAGCTCGCTGCACCCGATCTCGCCTTGCCAGCGATGGTACGCTGTACGCTGTACGCTGTACGGTACAGTACTGGTATTTACATCTAGCACGCGTCCGATCCGCGTCAGATGACTCATGGAGAAAAGGACACCCTGAGCGCTACGGCAGTGGAAAAGGAACCCTGGAGACGACCATCCAAGACACCGCAAGCCTGTCCGTCCGTCCATCATGGCCCAGCTCGTTTGGCATTCCACCTTGGGGTCAATCGAATCGAATGCTGCTGGTTTTCACACAGGCCTGTTGGTCGATTTGGACCACCCCCACCCGACTCCCTGCCTCCCTGCCTCCCGCTATTCATCACAGAACAACGCATGGCGAAGTAGGTGGGTAAGACCGGGCTAAAATGTCAAGCTTCAAGGCGAGCAAGGGCCTGCCAGTGCGACGAGCACCGCCCCTGTCGCTATGGTATGGCTGTCTGCACATCAGAAGGCTCAGGCCGTGCGCCAACAGCGGTTAAATCTCGTCGAAGGCTCCAACCGAGATGGGCAGATCCCCATCAGATTAGATAACTTCAGCGTCCTGCGGCCAGTTCATTGGGCCGCGAGATCAGGACGAAGCCGATGCTGCAGCCGGAGCGGGCTCTTTTCCTCGTCAAGCCCACCATGAGCGAACTTCTACAGGTAGCGCGCCTTGGGTACCTTGTCCGTTGCGCCTAACCTGCACTACTCTCTCACGCATGGACAGACAAGCCTGCCGCCAACCCGACAGCACAGTGCTGCTTCCAGCGTGACAGGCGGAGAGAGGGTCGGCCAACCTGTCAATCGAAGCGCCATTTAAGAGACATCCTGGATCCGGCTCGCCCGACTCGAACCACTCCTGCCCTGCTCCCATCGGTGCTCTGCGGGACGATCCAGACCCAACCCCATCCTCCGCATGGAAGAGGATCGTTCTGTGGAGGAACTGGTCTCAAACGAACGATAGCGCGACGAGACACATCAAGTTGCCAGCATCAAAACGGGCCCTCATGCCTTTTCTCATGCCTTGCTTGGCCTTGGTCGAAAGTACCGCACGATCGAGTTCGAGCATATATCTCACCGCTTCGCTTTCACTGTGCACGCGTCACTCTCGGCAACTCCAAAAGCCAGTCAGTGAGTGTGGTGGCCCCAGTATGTGCGGAGCACACCAGTTGAGCACCATTGTCGCCCCATGGATTATCATTTCAAGTTTGTCGGACATTCCTCCACTTCCAGCGACACTGGAAACTCTGAAGCCTGAGCGCCTGAAGGGCCCTGGTCGTACATCAGGCAGGTCCACCTCTCTGTTGCATCGGTCTGCTTCGGCATCCGACATGACGAGCCTCCGAAAAGGGTCGTATATCCGACCCGCCAGCCGCTTCCCGACGAACCGAAGGCCATCATGTTTGCCTGTCAAAGTTGTTGATCATCATTGCCATTCATATTCGTTTCACGGGCATCCGCAAGCTAAGTAGACTTGATTTCCAGCACATTGTATATTGCAAACCTCAGGAGAGTACCACTCCCACTGCCGATGATCTGGTGCCTGTTTTGCCGTCACAGATGTGCGGTGGCTGCACTCAGGTATCTTAGGTAGGATACCAGGTGGACTCGCCTGTCCATCATAAAACCTACTTGCAATGTGACGAAACAAGGCTTTCATCATGCATGGTACACGAGCTAGTCAGTTACTGTCCCATTCAACAACCCAGAAAGACGACCCGACCTCTTTTGAGAACGCTATTTGCTGGGCAGGGCTCACCAACGTGTATGTCACCTATCAATAAGAACACTGAGTAGGATTCTCCCGGCACAGGGTGTCCAATTTCCGGAAGAGGTGGTGAACAATATGCCCCGAGAATTGCTGAGTGCCAATGGGTCTTACTCCGTTCACAAACTCGTGGTTCCTGGTGGCTTTGGCCTCGAATGGAACTCGTGCGATGAGTGGAAGTTATTTTCTCATGCCATCAGAATGGCCGGTTCGTCAGCAGCATACTCTATTGCGTTATCAGCACTGCAACCCCGTCATTCCTTGTGACCGACTATTACTTTACTGCATGGTATTGTGATTTCAACTCATTGCATCCAGATCCACCAGGCAACGGAAACGAGCTGTACCATGGGCAGACCTCGAGCTCGAGGGAATAGATCGCCACTCCTGGATATCGTAGGATCTGATATCAGCTTGGCCTTGCAACCACGATGTTTACGAGGCAACACATTTCTTGAGCCACAGGCAGCGAGCACCGCATCCCAAGGAACGACAGTGGAAATGAGAGCTCGAATAGTAGCCGCCTCGCACATAAACTCTGCTTTCTCAACAAACAAGTCAACACCACTGATCGTCCTTTTCACGTCCATTGCTGTCCTTGTCATATGTGATAGCGAGCAAAAGTGGGCAAATGATCGCGACCTACGCGAGCAACTTTGTCACAATGCGAGCAGCGAGTTTGCTAGTCAGTTTCCACAGCAGGTATCTATTCGTCGAGGCCTGCCCGTGTGACGGCCTGTCCGTAGGACTGAGCGAAGCAGCCGCTGCCGCGCATTCAGCTTGGTACACCCGTCGTCGCTCGTACGTCCACAATTGAAGACTTAAGCTTCATTTTCTGCCACACCTAGCCTCGCCCCTCGGCCCCCCTCCATGTAGCGGGCCCCTGTGGTGTGCCGAGCGACTGCCGTGTGCCGCTTGTAGTCACTGAGCCACGAGGCATGTTCTCTTTGCGGGTTTGGGTGCTACATCGACAGCGCCAGAGATAACAACGGCACTGATGAATCAAAACTGGAAATCAGGAGCAACGCTGAATGCCGAATGACTCCTCAAACGAACAAGAGAGGTCTGGAACTTCCGGGTCTTGGATGTAGGTCGGCACCTGTATCATATCACTGTTACTTGCCCCAGACGGCCTGGTTACTGCCGTATGTGCAACAGGCCTTTCCCCGGCCACGCGGTGTGTCACTTCATCCACGCTTCTACAGCGAAAGCGGATTCCGAGACGCCCGAAGTCGAGGCACACACCCATGACGGCATTGAAGCGGACTAGTCTCGCGGCGCGCGAACGTCACGACCTGTCCTGTCACTTTCTGCGGTGTCACCGAGACAGGTGCACACGCCTCTGAAACCTGGACAGCAAGCCCTGCCACTGCTCATGAAAGAGAATAGGGTCTTTTACGTATATTGGTTGAATGAGCCTCCAATTCAGCTCGTTTACTGCCCCGCATGGCTACACACGTTGACGCCAAAGCTGTGTTGCAGACCAAGGAAAGCGAATACTTCTGAGCCGCCTTCGGTGCAAGTGAGTGGCTTGATGGGGTTGGAATTATCCTGCCGGTCGTTCGCTGCCTGTCGCCTTGTCTCCTCCCTGATCTGCTCTATTGCGGCGTGGGGTACAACAGAACACTTGATGTTGAGCTAACAAGCCTCTTTTACTCGTGCGGCAAACCCCATATCGAGTGACAGGCCGACATGGAACCGTTACTGATTGTTCCAGGGCCATTGGCTGTCTTAAGGAGGGCCGGATATGTCCATTTCCGCGTCTTTATTTGTCCGTTTGTAAGTATCTCCGTTTTGCGAGGCTCCAGCCCAAATCATCGAGCTCTCCCAGGACTCTGCGCTACCCACACAAAGGTGTCATGGGAAGTCGCAGAAATCATAACGACGATGTCTCGCGGGTTTGATGCCGACAGGCGGTCAAGTCGTTGACTCGACGTACATAGCTGATGGGTCAGCTCAACTCATCGTCTGGTGAGGAAATCAAAGCGCGACAAGGTAGTATGATCCGGTTTTCTACTGGAGCACCGCCACGCCATCTATGTTATTTGTGCCCTATCAGCTCGTTCGTCTTAAGAAAGTAGGCGACTCGATCACCTGACACCTTTCTCAGCCAGTCTCGCGGGTTGCCTCTTCGCCAACAAGAAATCATTTGTTCTCCGGCATCGGGCTCCTTCTGGGCGGTGGATAGCGGAATCGGTGGTCATTCTGTTGCACATTCAGGCGAAAGCGGATATTTTGTGAACCTCGGACATTTTCTTTCCTTCCCTTGTGCTTGTACACATACGAGCTCGTGGGGGCAAAAGGGGGGAAACAAGGGATCCGTGTCGTGACAGCTGCAACCACCCCTCAAGGACAGTCAGACTGCAGCGGCATCCCAGGACACGCCTCTTGTAAAGCCCTGGATTATGCTCCACGCGTCACTGAGTTGAGGACAGCGGCTATGCACATGGGCTGCTGCCAACAAAGGACATGGCAAGTCGGTGTCTGTCGGCTTGAGACGCATTTGCCTTCCAGCACATTGCCCCAGACACAGACGGCTGCCCCCCCCCCCCCCCCCCCCCCCAAAAAAAACGGCGAGCGAGAGTGAGCTCAGACTGGCGGTCTAGTTCACCATATCATCGTCTTCGTCTGCATTCTCATACTACGGCCGAGCAGGCACGGCCACGTGTGTCGAGTCAAGTGTTGATATGTCTGGCAGGGTTTCGCCCGAAACTATGGCTGGCTTTGTTATGGCGATTCGCCAAATCCGCCTAACGATGTGGCCAAACGGCTTTGCCATGCGGCTACCCGATAGATGCCTCTGTTCATCCCACACGCCCTTGGTACGCCTCCAAACACCGTGTTTTTCCGTGTTTGGTGCCGCGGGAGTCATTCATGTTGGTATTTGCGTCGTCAAACTGGTTTCTGCTTGGAAATTGGCCCCCTACAGAGGTCCTGCAGAGGGCCAAGAGAGGGAGGCTGACTGGGAACCTGTCACGGAAGTGACCTGACGACACCCAGTGAGTCCGCCTTCCACCAAGGTTGCCATCTTGGTGAGAGGCACTGAAACCCGGGGGACTCTTGGTTTCGAAGCTGCCGGCAACGGGATGGGTGGGCGAAGAGAGTACCAAACCCCCCACCTGACCATGCCCTCTTTTCCAGCCTTTCATCTGTCGGTCAAGGAGCCGAGAATGTGAGCCTGAGTGCGCTCCCATGCTCATGAGCCGTTTGCTGGGGGATGTGTATTCTGACGCCCGACGATAAATCCCTGGACTGCATTGGCCCCCCCTCCCTCTCTGCACCGAATGTGGCCCTATGTATCTTGCACAGCCAGTCCTCGTCCATTATCCTGCTCATCTACAGCCGACATATTTAGGAGACGCCACCATCAATGGTGTTGGCATCTCGGACCCTCATCCTCGCCCTCGTCACCTATCACTCGGAGGCCCTTCCTCGATAGACGCTGTAGAAGAAGCGGTGGACTCTCACAAACGGAGCTCACAGTCCTGAGAGGCTCGATTACAAGACATCTTGACAAAGGAAATCTGCACCGAGAACACGAAAAGCCACGAAGAAGGAGTCTCTTCCTTGATATCATCTCCCTTGGACACGCCGAACTGCGGCACCGCCGAACACGTAAGTCGTGGCCGCTGACGAAAGGACCGGTAGCCATAGACCCCTTGTCCTGGTCATTTTGGAGCTCGTCACGCGCTTTGCTCTCAGCACCTGCCACCCTCCATTTTCTCAAGACGCGAGAGGCATCAACCCCCCAGAACAGCAGGCGTCAGGTGTTTGCCATTACTGCCCATCACCACGGAGCGGCGCGAGGAGAGAGCATCTGGTCCCCTTCCCCCTCCCCCTCTCCCTCCCCTACCCTTTCAACTTTCCTGACGGGGCTTGTTGTTCCCGCAGCTCTGTCTTAAACCCATCCATCCCACCGCCTCCGATCCTCGTGGGGTTTTCCTGCTCGCCGGTTCAGTCAGCACGTCAAAGTCAAAGCCCTGTCGCCTCCCCCTCTTACACAGCGCAGGAAGCAGAAAACCTTTCGAGACAAATCTGCGAGCTGCGAGCGTGTAAACAAACGACATCATGCTTTCTCTTGCATCTCTCCTCAACCCTTCCCCTCAAGGATCCTCCCCCGCTCCATCCACCACCCGACTCCCTCAGTTCATGCCTAGCCCTACAGCCTCCTCGCCCGCCACCTCGACCGCTGATGATACCTCGCCGTCACGCACCGGAAGGCCGCTCGTGACCAAGTTCAGGATGACCAAAGAGCTGCTCACTGTCAAATCAAAACCTAGGGGTCCTATCAATTACTGGCCCTACCAAGATGTCGACGACGCTGCCCGCCGCGCGGTTGAGAAATTCCAAATCACCCCTTTTGGCCAGATTCACAACTGCTGCGCACACATTCCGTACAACAGTGGAAAGAAAGACTTCTACGAGAAAACGGGACGGGAAAGCTTTGAAGGTGGGTTCATAAATCACATCGCATGTCGTGTACGTCTGCTGACGAGTCGTGTCGCAAGTCTTCAAGTACGAGTTCAGGGTGCCGGGCGTTGACGCCGAGTTTATGGTCATGTGGGACTACAATATTGGCCTGGTTCGCATGACTCCCTTCTTCAAGTGCTGCAAGTACGGAAAGGTATGTTTAGCACTTGGCTTGACCGAGCCTCACAGGCCTTGCTGACTGGCGTGCTCGAGACGGTGCCGGCGAAGATGTTAAGCCTCAACCCTGGGCTCAAAGACATCACACACAGCATCACAGGCGGTGCCATTCTGGCTCAAGGTCGGTGACAACTCCCCAACATGCCATGAAGCGTCCTGCTAACAGCAGCAAGGATACTGGATGCCCTACAACTGTGCCAAGGCTGTCTGCGCGACATTTTGCTACGACATTGCTGGAGCGTTGATCCCGCTATTCGGTCCCGCATTCCCATCTGAATGCATACCGCCAGGTGCCCCCGAATTTCAACGCATGATCATCAGCTCGCAGATCATATACGACGCCCAGCGAGAGGCGGAGATTACGCGCCGGAATATCTTACGTGCTCTGGCCTCGAGCAATCGTGTCAGCGGCGGTGGCTACACCAGCAGCCCCGACTCCAGCCAGGACCGCCGACCCCTGCGGCCGGTCCGTGACGTCGACCGCCGTCTCCGCGTCTATACCCGGCTCCTGAGCCCCTACAGTACAGACACGGACGCTGAAGGCCATCATTCCGGCCCGGATTCGGGTCCGGACTCAGCCTCGAGTATGGTCTCTAGCGCTCTCGGCTATGCTTTCCACCGCCCGGCAGCCCCGACCCCCATGCGGCACACCTCTGGCTGGACGGCCGCGAATCATGGGCACCCGCCCGTACAGGCACGTCCTCGCCAGCTCCCACAAGCGTACCACCGGGAGGAGACGGGGTTCCAGCCGCCGAACCCCTGGCTCAGCGCCGTCCCCCGCTTCGCCCCCGCGCCCATGACGTCGGCAGCGCATCCACCGCCGCGCAGCCAGCCCCCGACGCAACGGACGTGGCCGGCTAAGCGGCGGCTCGATCACTACGACTCGGACGATACCGATGCCGGGTACGAAGGTGGCGAGAGCCAAAACGGCAGCCCAGCGCTCCGGTACATTGCGGAGAAGAGGCGGGAGGAGAACGTGCCGGGGGTGGACCCTGCCGAGAAGAATGCAGCTTTGCTGTTGATGGACCTCAGCGTGCGGGACCAGATTTTCGAGCGGCATGCTGCTGACGAAGAGTGTCGGGACAGGGTTCGTGTGAGTGATACTGACGTGGATCTGCATCGGGCCAAAAGAAGAAGGGCAGCGAGTCTGCCTGCGATAACGTCGTTGTAAGGGGGGGGGGGGGGGAGGGCATGCTCTGTGATGGTATCTTCGGTTGGTTTTCTGGCATCCTTTTCTTTTTCTTTTTCTTCTCCTTTTTTCTGCTGAAGTGTTCGGAGCAAGGAATAGATGGACGACTCAGGTCTGAAGGGGATTGTTTTTTTCTTCTGTCTTTCTCTTGTATTGAAGGCGTCGTAGGCATACGCATCAGATTGCATCACTTGTTGGACCGTTCGCTTCCCATCGCTGTGCTCTTCCCTATCCTTCATTGCATTCTTCATTTCCTGGCCGACGCCTATTTTCCAACCACAAGATGCTTCTTCTCGGCCGCCTTCTTCATTTTGAAGTCCTCCACCCAGGCGGCGGCCTTGGCCTTGGGCACGACGAAGACCTTGAAGACGTCATCGACAATCTCGACGCTGCCGGAGGCCAGGACCTTGAGCAGCGGCATCTTCTTCCCCCACTTCATCAGGCCGCCGGCGACCGTCTCGACGTAGCACTCGGTGGCGTCGAGGGTGTAGTCGGCGGCGCGGTCCCAGGGCAGCGGGAAGATGTAGCGCAGGTGGTCGGCCAGCACGTCGGCCTCGCCAAAGGCCTTGACAAAGTCCGACTCGAGGTCGGTCGGGTACAGCAGCACGACGGGCACGACGAGGCTGCTGCGCGGGTCCTCCTCGTCCGGCACGAGCCGGACGCGGGCGTCCTCATCTCGGGCGGCTGCGGCGTCGCGCGCGTGCGGATGCCCCGCGCCGACAGCGCCGCCCGCAGCACGGCGGCCCTGCGCCGCGCAGCGTCGGCGCGGGCGTCGTCGGCCTTCTTCTTGGCGTCGCGCTGCGCGGCGGCCGCCACGATGTCCCCGGCGACGGTGCGCAGGGCCTCGTTCTCCGGGTCGACGGCGAGGCCGTGGGCGCAGGCGTCGTCGGCGTCGTCGATGCGGCCGACGGCCAGCAGGGCCCGGCTCGAGCGGTACAGGGCCTTGACGTTGCGCGGGTTCAGGCGCAGCGCGAGCCCGCAGTCGAGCCAGCAGGCGCGGTGGTTGCGCAGCGCGAGCTCGCACGCGCCGCGGTTGACGTAGAGGGCCTCGAGGCAGGCGCGCAGGGCGGCGACGTCGGCGGGCGCGTCGTCGACCTCGGTCTCGACCTCGCGGCCGTCGGCCGTCACCTCACGCTCGGTCCGGCGCGTCGTCGCGCCGCGCCGCCGCGCCCGCTCGCCCGGCAGCAGCACGTCGATGCCCTGGGTGTAGAAGGCGCGGGCGTCGGCCCAGCGGCGCGCGCGGAAGCACTCGTTGCCCTGGTCCTTGAAGTTGGTGCCGTTCTCGAGCGGCGTGCCCTCAAAGGCGAGCGCCTGCAGCGCCGCCACCGTCTCGTTGTCCTCGTCGAGCTCCGTCATGAAGAGCGGCGACGTCTGCAGGTCGGCGTACACCTCGTCCACCGTGCGACGGACGGCCGGCGCGGGCCCCGTCGTGCCCTCGGGCTGGGGCGCTGCCTCGCGCTGGGCGAGCATCGACTCGAGCTGAGCCGTCATGTCGTCGACCTTCATCGCGGGGGCGCTTATGTGTGGTGTTGCCTTGTGCCGTGATGTTTCTCTTGCATCGAGGTGCTCCCCGATGACGTATGTGCCTCTCGGGCCGTCGTCTGTTGTATGTAGATGGACGATGGACTGGGACCTGAAATCGATGACAGTGACTTCTTTTGACGGTGAAATCTGTTCGCGAATGATTCTCTTCGTGATGGAAGCTTGACTTGGTGTGAGGTTGAAAATTTTAGGTGACCTACCCTCCCCGCGACGCCAAACGTGTGGCCGTGTTTTTGGTGGGGAAGCTTATTGGGCAACTGCGATCCAAGGTACATGACAATGGAATCCGTTCGAACATCCAGACGAACGATCAACAGTGGCCATCACTCCCAAGATCACTCGAAGCATGCAGTCAGAGAAATAGTCCCTACATCTTTTTTCTTCTACATCACGAATCAAGCTTGCTTGCCGACCAACGCAAATACATCGCCGGCCATGATGAGAAAAACAAGACCAAACACCAACGCAGGACCCCAAAACCGAGATCCCTACGCAATACAACGCGAGCCTTTTCCCAATCCAGTACGCCAGACTAAAAACCACCGCGGCCCATGGTGCCCAGGGATATCTCCCGTCTAGATATATGCATCGAGTCGTGAAAAATGTGCAGACGGTACAATCATCCCCCATCCGTAAGGGCGGCGAAATGCAAAAACGCCATGCTCGCTGGCAAACAAACCACTGTCACGCCCTGTTCTTTCTTTCCTGTGCAAAGCCTCTCTGCACGCCTTCTCTTCCTCATGCTTCCATGCATGCAGACAACCGTCTCACATGCGCTCGTCGTCGACCACCTCAGTCACGACAATCGTCGGCTGCTTGGGCACGCTGGCCCGGCCAGCCTCCTCGGCGCAGTCGCCGTCGCACCTCTGGCGCGGGACGGCAAAACATTGCACAGCACCCATGACGGCGACGACGGCGCTGCCGTACCATGCGAGGCCCGAGCAGTTGATCTTGGTGCCGTACGTGTACAGCAGGCCGGCAACGGGAGGCGCGATCATGCGGCACCCGGCACTCGCGCTGGCCGCCATGCCGTTGAGCTTGCCGAGAGCCTTGGGCGACGGCGCCGCCTCCTTGATGAGGATGAGGAGGAGCGGGTAGAGGATGATCGACAGCACGTTGCGCACAGCGAGGCAGAAGTAGATCGCCGGGTAGACCATGGCCTCGGGCACGAGCAGCAGGTTCGGCACGAGGACGTAGGCGATGGGGTGGAGCACCGTCACCGCAATGAACAGCTTGTACACGCCGAATTTCTGGGCAGCGAGGGGGAAAATGACGGCCTGCACAAAGAGCGCAATGACACCGTTGACGCCCATGATCATGCCGACGGCCCTGGTCGTCATGCCGAGACCGCCAGCGCCGAGGCTCCCGGCCACGGACGAGGCCGCCGCAGAGAAGAGGCTCATGCTGCCGCTGTCGGCCCGGTCGTCCTCGAAGAAGATGGGCATCAGGTGGTCGTACGTCATCGAGTGGTAGGTGAAGATGCACAGCGCCACGACGAGCGTCATGATGCGCTTGGTGAAAATGTCGTACGACGGCTCCTCCTTCTTCTCGTCGAGCTGCGCCCAGTCGCCGGCGCTCAGGCTGCAGCTGCGGCCCCGGACGCTGCCGTACGTGTCGTCGCGCAGGTCGACGGCGGGCCTCTTCATGGCGTCCGTCGTGGCGAGCAGCGGCGTCTCCTCGGACACAAACGTGCTCGGCGCCATCGACGACGTGGACTGCATGTCGGGGTGGGTCTCCTGGAGGAGGAACCAGCCGAGCACAATGCTGACGAGGAGAAGCGCGGCGCAGACGAGGTTGGGCAGCAGGTAGGGGAAGTTGTAGAACAGGCTGCCGACGGGGAAGGCCGCGGGCCACGACTTGTGCGGGTTGGCCATGGTGCCACCAATAAAGGGGCCCAGGATGGTGCCGATGGACCAGACAAAGGGCATGACCGAGTAGGCGCGGGCTGCGGAATGTCAGTCTTGTGTGTTTGTGTCAAAAAGGGGCACACCAGATCAACTCACGCTCATGTTCAGGCTTCTTGACCATCTCACCGACCATGGTCTGGATGACGCCAATGTTGCCGTTGAGGAGACCGCCGAGGGCCCGTCCGAGGAGGGCGAGCCAGATGTTGGAGGCAAAGCCGACCATGACCAAGCTGAACATGGTGCCGATGCAGCCGATGAGGAGAACAGGCTTGCGGCCAATCTTGTCAGAGAGACCGCCCCAGTACATGCCCATCAGGGCCTCCGCCAGGGAGAAGGCCGAGATGAGCAGGCCCGCGTAGAAGGATGCATCTTCCTCGTTCCCTACCTCGTACCTCTTGACGAGCTCCCAGGCGTAGGGAAAGATGGACGTGAGGGCAATGGGTTCCGCGAGTCGGACGATGGCTGTCAAAGTGATTAGCCTCTCGTGGGCCGAGGAATGTTGGTGTCTTGGACGTGTGGACTCACCCAGGAGAAAGAGCTGGACAGTGGGGAAGGCGTCTGGGTCGCGAGAGTAACTCTGCTTGGTTAGAGACATGGCTTCTCGACTTGGTAAAAGTCTTACGACGCTGACGCAAGGCAACTCTGATACACACACACACAAACACACACGCTTGTTTCTCTGAGCACTTGGCGGAAAAGTCCGATCTCGTACTCGTCAAGATCAGGTCAAGTCACAAAGACGTTGACGTGAACCAGGACAAGCGGTAGTAGAGAAGACAAAGTGCAGGCGGGCGAGGGGGTACAGTGTGTGGTGGTGGTGGTGGTGGTGGCGAGGCGAGGAGAGATGCTTGTGTCTGTAGGCGGCTTCTTCTTCTTCTTCTTCTTCTTCTTCTCTTCGCGGTCGAGGAGAGCAAAGACGAAGGTATTCTTATACAGGCGTCAGGGTCTCAGGAAGGAAGGAAAAGTAGAAGCAACCCGGAAGCGGATGTACTCTTTCGAAGAGAGGATTCGTCGATGGGGAGAGGAATGAGAGGAAGAAATGAGCAACGTGCTGAGAGCAGGAGTGCGAAGGGGTAAATATTCGGTCGAGGAGAGACGTGGAGACAGGCCATGGCCATGGTCGCGTGGTGGGCGGCAACAGCGCCGGGTGCCGCAGCCTGGCGCTGGTGCTGGTGGGTGCGTCAAGGGTTCCATTGTCAAGGTTCCTCGTGTCTCGACCCTCAAGGCCCCCTCCGAGGCCCCGTTGATAACAGCTCGCCTTGCTGCAAGCGTTGGAGCTTGTACGGAGCGAGAGGCCGTGGGAACGGGGAATGCATGACGTCGGGGCGCTAGCATGTCTGGCCGTTGGAAAGAACCATCCATGCTGCTTGGCAGGCGCAACGCTGGGAACGGGCGTGTGGAAGGAACCACCCCGGTGAGACACAGAGAAAAAGATGGTTGAGCAGGAGCGGCTCCGAAGGTCTGTCCGGGTAGTGTGCAGCACAGCATGCACGCCAGGAAGGAATGATGGGAGGGGGGCCGCCGCCACCGCTACCGCTACCGCTATCGTCCATGGGAAATGGGAGACGAGGGAGAGAAAGACCAGCAAGACCCAGGAATGTGGGGCGGCGATCGTAGTCCGCACTTGCTGAACCGAACAAGACCGTGGCCAGATTCGTCGCAACAGCAACAGCTCGACCAATCATCTTCACCGAAGCACCACAAGTGCCATCCGACGACGCAGGGATCCGACCTTCCAGGCACAGACAGTGGGCAGAAACAGAAAGCAAAGCAGGTCATTCAGCCATTACCACGTACAGGCAGCCACCACAGCCGACAAGCGGAGCAGATGCAGATGGAGACCAGGGTCATTCGGGCGCACGGGCCAAGGAGCATGCGGCGCCAGCTCTAGCGTATGCTTGCATCGAGGTGGCCCACGAGCGAGTGAGTGTGAGGTGAGACAGCCAGCCAGCCGCCTCTTCGCTCTCGCATTGGTATCGTTTTTTTTCTCCCCTCATCTTCAGTGATGATCCCCCCTCTTCCGCCTCCCCCCCCCCCCCCTCACCTTCACACCATCAGTGCTGGAACATGCACATGCCAGCATGTGTGCAGGCTTAAAACGGTCTGTCTTGGGCTCGCTTGGCCAGTACCGGATCGACAGACGGGTCGACGCTGGATTCGACCGTTTTCTGTCACCATCCACCTACCTACCTACTTGTACAAAAGTAAGCAAGACAGTGTCCACCTAACGCTTCTGTCCCACCCTGCGGTGCGCAATGTCTGGCCTCGTCGTTGCCGTCGAACGAGACGACTTGGCGTTCCTCATCACATATGGAACGCCTTGACTGGGATGACGCCAGCATGAACAAACACCACAAGAGCAGTGCAGGGTACCGGCCTCGGCCTCATCTCGTTCAACTCCGCCAGATGCACTAATGCCGACTGCGGAGGGGCCATCAACTCAGTAGTCCTCCTTACCCATGCACCGGCAGGCAGGCAGGCAGACGGGCATGCCACGGCGGAACGGGTAATCGAGGAAGCTGGGTCTCAGGACCAGGGGCACGAGGGCGAGAACGAGAGAGACGGCGCGAGATCTGGTAGCCATGGACACGGACAAATACCGGATGTCCTCGAGAGCAACATGACACGGCACACCGCCTGACCATCCGCCATCGAGTGTCGCCTCTGCTGATCTCTCGCCTCCGCCGCCGCCTGCTGTTGCACACATTACTGAATACTCTTCTTTTCTTGCCTCTGATCGTCGAGAGCACAAGCAGATCCTTGGAGATGGCGACGCACGGTGAAATGCCGTCGACCTACATCAACACCCCGAACCGACCAACAAATGAAGACAACAACAGTAAACAGGTCGTCTCACAACATGAGCAGGCCAGCCAATGACCCAGGCTGGCCATGCAGGCGGACCGTGGTCTAGTCTAGACCTTGATGCTTCTCCACAAGGAGCAGCAATGTCGGATCGTCCGAGCGCCTTAGCTCCATGATTCGCCGCGTTGAGTTGCCGCAAATTCGATGGTGGAGTCAACCACGAACAACCCTTGGTCGCATTCTTATATCCGAGTCTCCGCGCAAATAAGCCAGCGAACCAACCCGGGTTGTTTTTCTACCCAAATTTCTCCCGCCGGCCTGGCCCCCTCGTCCACCGGGCATCCTAGTACGATGCGGTGGCGGCCAGCGAAATCAAAGTCTTGTAATCTGACTGGCATAGACTGCACGGCGTCGAGCGGCTGTCTCGCACCGCCTTACGCGTAACTGTTGACCCATCATGCAGTCGTGCCATCTGTTTCCAGCGCCCCCGACAGGCCCAGCGTGAACAGGCAATGCACAACATGCACGGCGGTGTGGTCCGTCAGTATGATGCGGTGAACGAACGGTCGTCTCGGTGTGAAACAAAATATCGCCGTGTCAGATTTCGCCTGGATCGGGTGGAAGGTGGGAAATCAGAGCCTCTACCCTGGTCAGACTCGTCAGCTAGAGCACTGGCCATCATCAGTAGCGACACGATCCACCTATGTCTTGGCTCAACCTCGATACAATCAAACAGGACATGACCCGCTGCCGACGTCGGGCGTCATTGCACCGCCGTGACTTCCGTCTGCTACGACCCGACGGAATTTTCCACAACATTCGCGGGCCTTCGTGTGATCGCCGACACGACTTCTTTCCATGTGCGGCTGCGAAGAAGGTGATTGTGCACATCTTATCTATCACCTACATGGCCTTGAACCTTCGGCATTCTATACCACCGATGAGGGACTTTGGCCCTGCATGTGCATGCGCAGGGCCGTGTGACAGTCTTATCTGTCAACCAACTGAAGGAGCAACACTTCTAGCAGCGCCATCAAGAATGACCCGGGCTGACTCGACGGTGAGACGGAGCGCACAAGCTAGCCCGGAGGCGCTTGTCCTGCAATGCACTGCCTGACATGCAACACCACCGTCTCTTCTCCTCTTTTCCCTGCGGCGGGGGAGGGGGAGAACAAGGATATTGCCTCGCATTGATGCATAACGCTGTTTACCCCCTATCCGCCCTCAGCCGATTTCGCCCGTCACACGGCCCGAAGAGCCAACATGTGACGGGCAGCTCTGGTCCACCACTCCTCCTGCCATGACACATCCTACCTCCCATCCCTGGTGGACATGGAACGAAACCCTCGAGCGCATTTTGAGCCTGCCATCGCCGCCTTCTCTCACGACCGTCGTTGATATCCTACCCCATCTTCGACTGTCGTTCAATCCAGTTCCAGAGCCCCGCATTCCCCATGCGCAACCGCCACTAGGCCCCTGGGCCGGTTGCAGGGTTCAGACCGTGACTTGCGCTAGTTCCCGTGCGCGTGGCCCCCCAAAAGTGGGAGTGGGTGGGGGCACTTTGGGTTTCTTTGGGCTTGGTTTGGGGCGTCTCCAAATCACGACATCACGGCTTCAGATCACTGATCCAACCACAAGTGGCGGTATCCAGGCGGCTCTGCTTAAGCTTTGCGGGACCATCGGGGTCCGACGATGTCTCATCTGGGAAGGTCCTCGTCGTGGCCCCCGGTTTCCTGAGCACGCAATGCGGCTACAACCACAGACTAGAATTGTTATTCCAACGTCAGACCTGATTACGAGTACATACTACGTCCGAGACATGTCAACAGTGTATTCCTCTTCTTTCTAGCTTGCGATCATGGAAAGTTGCAACACTTTTGCAAAACAAGATCAGTAAAGGGCCCCGTGGGTGTGCAATCAACAGCAGTTCATAGGTGGTTCGGTTCCTGTCATGTCCTTGTCAGAAGCCGAGTGCACGACGTGGTATGGCAATAGCGCCATCGTGATCGAATAGGATCTATCGGAGTCGGAATTGCCAGCACAACTAAACCTCCCCACCCTGGCATGTCTGTGGTTCGGTGCGTGTAGCGTGCTCGGCGTGTACGACCAACGACGGCCTCGTAGGCATGTGATTATCAGCTGCTACGCAAGAAACGGACCATATCTGTGGCGACTGCTCTCGATCTGTTCCCATCCTCGCAACTTCATTTCTATACGTCTATATTTCGATGACCATCCACACCGAGCCAGTGGAAGTTTTTCTCTATTTTAGGTCACCACCCACCCATACCGAGCCAATAGGACTTCCATGAGCTGCACCGGCTCGTCAGCACATCGCATCCGAGCTGCAACATCTCCTGCACGTCAGACACTCGACAGCGTCTGAGGCCCAAGGCGACGAGTTTCAGACAGAGTAGTCCATGCGGTGCTCGCCCATGGCGGCCCAGAACTCCTCGACGAGCTCCCTCTGTCCGCTCGGCGCACCCCGCACGGCCAGATACAGCCTGCCATCGAGCTCGGGCTCCCAGTTGCCCGGGTTGCCGCTGGCCATGATGCCGCCCGCCTCGGTCAGGAGGCACCAGCCGGCGCACACGTCCCAGGCCCAGCAGCCGCCCTCCCAGTAGACGTCGGTCTGGCCGGCAGCGACGTGCGCCAGCTGCAGGGCGGCGCTGCCGACGCTGCGCAGCGAGTGGGCCATGGCGCCGCCGTCGTCGCGGCTCGCGGCCAGGTTGCGGAAGGTGGCGACCTTGGCCTCAAAGTTGGGCCCATCACGAGTAGAGCCCCACTCGA